AGAGTGATTAGAGATATTTCAAGAATGAATGTTTTTTTAGAGGTATGATGATAATATTCTTCATCGGCACCACTAAACCTTCAAGTTTATATGATTCTGACTGATTAATAAAAAAAAATTGCAATCGCGATACCTGAGGGGTACTATAGGCACAAAAAGTGTGAATGCAGTTTTTCGAGGAATCGACTAGATACAAATGATCAGAATCGATCATGTATTCGATGGCATACAAACGCTCTCGCTCATGAGTGCTCATATGAGCGTGAGCTGTACACCCCTAGATGTGACTTCTGCCAAGAGTTGTTCAATCTCGAATAGAGCTTATAGCGATTTGTTCATGTTGGACTGATTGATTTTGTTTGCTTATTGAAGATTATTTCTCATTTTTTCAGATACGAATTGATACACTGATAGTCACACTACAGTACGTTATGTAAACAAGAAGACATACGACATCGTCTTTCGTCGAATATTTCATGCGGCTTCTAATCTATATCTTTCGAACACTAATGATATTAGTTATTCTTGTCGTGATGTATATCATTTTCGTGCGTCGTCGCTCACCGAAGCTATTCATCACCGAAGCAGATCTATATAAAATGATACAAAGAAACTCAGCGAACAGCACCTACCAACGTCGGATTCCTCGTATTATACATCAAACATGGAAAGATACAAGTATACCATCACGATGGAATCTCAGCGTTCGAAGTGTACGCAAACTAAATGCTGATAATTTCGAGTATCGCTTGTGGACAGATAATGACATGCATGAGTTTGTTCGCGAAAAGGAACCGGATGTGTACGCAAACACTTTTCTTACTTATTCGCATAACATTCAACGAGTCGATGCCTTTCGATATATCTTATTATATCATCTAGGTGGTGTCTACATTGACATGGATGCAGGATGCTCGAAATCGTTGGATATTTTGCTAGATGCACTAGAAGCTCTCGACCCGCAGGCAAAACATCTCGCTGCTCTTCCTGAAACAAAACCCAACGGCCTTTCAAATGATTTTATGATTTCGACGAAGGGTCATCCGTTGTTTGCCGAACTCGTTTCTCATCTTTCTATTTTCAATCATAACTATATAGTGTACTATCTGACTATCATGCTCAGCACCGGTCCTCTATTTCTGACAATCAATGAACAGTTGTTCAGTAGATCGTCTGGAACAATATCTGTGCGCATCATTGAAGGTAAAGCCTACTCTCCTCTATTACTTTGGTTCGCAGGAGGCAACTCTTGGCATGGACGAGATGCTCAAATAATCAAATACATTTACGAGGTTCCGCGCACTCTTCAGCTTGCCTCAATAATAACAGCTTTCTTACTCATTTTCTTCATCTACTTTTTATATTCCTGTTACCGACGACGCTCTGTTCGTTAAACGAAAGACTTGAAAATTCCTGATTAATAGAAGATGTAGATGTGAGTCTTATCCTTGCCTGCATTAACACCCGATCAGCAGTGAATAAATTGAATTGAAACTTGAAATTCGACTGTTTTCTCAATTGAATAGACTCGACGATTGTGTTGCTGACCGACACGAAACAAAGGAGAATAATGACGATTTATTGTGGAATTCGTTTTTCAGTTATATATTGCATAAGTATGTGGGCTTATTGAAATTTTACCACCAGTGCAAATAGAAATATCGTTGGAGCAATCATCGTACACTGAGAAACTTCAATTTTCAAGAAAAACTAGTTTATTATCAAAAATATGTATTATAATCGTTCATGCTTTTAGTTGTTATTGAAAAGAAAATCTTCAACATAACGAGGGTTTCCGTTCTTTGTGGCAGGTTTTCATTATCCAACCGAGAGATTTTGATTTCAGATGAGAGAAAAAGCAAGGGGTTTGAGTAATCATATGGCAAAAATAAATGATACTGAAATTCAATAACCCTTCCGAGCAGTTGCAGTTGTCGTATCTTCGATAAAACTACAAGAAAAACAAAGAAAGTATAATTTGTTTACTTGTTTCAAGGTGAATATTTCAAATTGTCGCACGTTGGTGGATCCATTGCTTTTTGAGAAAGAGGAGGAGCTGTTGCAGTCAGCGGACGATATGGAATCAATGGATATATCTTTTTGTCTTTCAATCTGTTGACGTGTACGGAATTTATAGTTTGCCGAAGAAAACAACTTCGAAATGTATTCACTCAAATTTATCATCTTTCAGACGTGACAATTTCGTTGGTCGTCGACCAGATTTGTTGCCGCCATGTACAATAATATTCAATGTGTTCTCTTAATATCCGAAACAAAGTTTGATAGAAACTTACGAGGATGATTAGCAACGACCAAAAGTAGTAACACAAATGTAAAAAAAAGTTTTTTTCGAGTACTTTGTCACAGGGTTACCAGCACACCTTCACGTACAAGGTTGTTGAAATTGATTTTATTGCTGTTGTTGGAAACACATAAAATTGGTAAATCAAAATTTTGCTATTAGGTATTTTTATTTTAATGATTAAATCCAAATACGACTGCAAGTCATACTCAACATATTAAAATCAACTAATAGAAGCGGATGTTTCAAAATAAGTTGGTATTATTCTTAATACGTGTAAGAGGATCAATTAACCCTCGGGTGTAAATGAGAAATTGAGTTCCATACGTACATATAGAAAAGAAGATTAGCAACGACTCACATAAATATTATATATTGATATGGTTTATTCATCAGAGACTACGATTCATCTTTTTAAACGAATAAAAATGTATACTGTAGATATCATAATGCTCGACGCGATAACCATCATAATAGTCAAAACAAAACAAAATTTCCATAATTAATTAGATTCAGAATTGTCAAGTAGCACACGTTGCTATGATTGATCCAATTATCCTCGTTTTTATATGATGTTCATAAGTTCACTACATTAATTACATCGATTATACGCACAAACACGTTCAACAATTCAATTGTTACTTGGTGGAAAGAAAAATTTCCTTCTAGATTTTTTTTGCTGGATTTAAATAATAGAAAGAGAAATACCACATGATTTTCAATTCTCTAATATACGAATCGAAAGAAAGAAACAAGAGCGCAACATACAAGACAAGCATAAAGTAAGATAGTAATTAAAAACGTAAAGAATCTGTATCAGCATTACAATTTTAGACGACTAAAATATATGTTGTTCTTATACTATTAAAAGGATAAATGTTCAACTTTTATGTTAAACCTCATGGAATACTTATGCTTTTTAGAATCACATACACAATCTACACATTGACGAAAGAGAAAAGAAAAAATATATATATTTTTGTAACTGTTTGAGTATATATACATGCACTTCGATGGATAAGAAAACTCGAGAATGCAAGGTGAACAGCTACGTATGGTAATGACTACAGAAAAAATAAGTCTATTTGTTAAATGAATATTTTAAGCATTAACTGCACGTTTTTTAGTATCATTATCTGATGGGTTTGTTGTTGCACGTACAAGTCTAAAGAACAAAAAAGAAACATTCTTGAAATTTCTACGAAATTTAAACTTACGGATCATTCGCTTGATCTTGATCATCATCATCGGTCGAAGATTTTTTATTTGATTTTTGACGTTTTTCAAAAATTAAAATGATGATGACAAGAACAATGACAACACTAACAATACCAATAAATGGCCAGAGCGCTGCTAACCGATCTAATAGGAGGATAACAATAAAAAAAAAATTTTTCTAAATATAAAATCAATGAAGTAAACAAACCTTTAACACGTAATAAAACTGAAAATGTAACATTATTCATTGCACACTGATAAAAACCATTATGAAATTTTTTAACATGTTCAATGCTTATTTTATCGCCTTCCTTTGTGACTGAAAGAGGAAGAGTCGAATACGATTCTTCGTCTTTACTATATTCCCATACAATTTCATTCTCATCGTAATTCTCTGGTTTTGGTTCAATAATGCATTTCAAAACAACTGCTTTATCTTCACTACGCCGTATTGATCCTTGACGAGATTCAATTTTTTCATTCGCTCGATTTGTTTCTATACTTTGTGGAGATGGTATAGCTATTCCAAAAACAAAACATCATGAAAATTATATTATCATGACAAATAAACTCTATTTACCTGATATTTTTTCAAATCGACATTCGCTAGGTTCTTCATAACCGGGTTTATTTGTTTTAACCTGCCAGAATTGAACGGCGGTATCGTTAACAACTTTAAAAAAAAATATTTATTTTCAAGTATTTTTGTCATAATTACCGAAGATTTTTATTGTAAGAGTCGATTCTTTTTCAGTAGTTGTAACAGCATAATGGCCAGCTTTTTCGGTGCTTACAGCTACACCATCTTTGTACCATTCAATAAATTGACCATTGCCATCCTCACCTGTATATTCACATTTTAATTCTACTGAATGCTTTAATACAGCTTTTATTTCGTTAGTTTGCGGTTTGCCAATATATTGGGCATGTATATTAAATATTATACTTGAGACTAAAAAAGGAGAAAATAGTCTACATGCAGCAATTATCTAGGGTTTAAATGAGTTAGTACCTGTAAAAAATATGACAAGTGGTTGTGAATGTGTCATTGCTTACGAATGAAGAATTGGAATAATGAAAGAAAAACAATTCGTCTCGTTTTGCTTGTTTTTGTTGTTGTTTTTGTTTACACTATTTTTGTTTGTTTTTATAGTGCTTATTATTTTGTCATGTTAATATGATCTTTTTTTTATTCAAGTTCTAAAAAATTTTATACGAACAAAAACTAAAAAATCAGAGAACTATTTTTCTGAAATTCTGATTCGCTTAGAATTCAACCAATCGAATTACAGAGAATGAAACGGTTATGGTATGCATGATGTCAAATTATCTATCTATTCAAATGAATAATGAAGAAGTGCGCAAGATTTTAACGCCACGACGCAAGTTGTGTGTTAGAAAAGTCCAAACTCACAGTATTTTCTACACTATTTGGTGCGAGTGCCGTGATATTTTTACTCGACTGTTTTACTATTTTCAGATATATATACATAGAATGACTGAGTCATCAGTTCCAGAAGCAAAGCCATCAGCATGGTTTTCAAATTTCGGTTTAACTCCAAATTTAACTAATACATTAACGAGCTTGAGTTCCAGTATCGTCGATGCTACATCTAAAGTAGGTACTGCAGCAAGTACACTTCAAAAAACGATCCAAGAACGTCTGTATACATCTAATCAAAACGAACAACAAACTTCCGAAACAACTAAACCAACCAAAGATTTAACCAGTATGTTATCTATGAATCAGATTCAAAACTTGTTATTTTATTCTTCATAGGTATTTTGACCGATCTAAGCTCAAGTGTATTAAAGAGTGCTCAACAATTCAAACAGGTTTTCGAAGAAAAAACTATCATTGGTAATTTTACAAAAGAACAAGAAAAGTTTCTAACAGATAAACGTACGCAACAACGACGTACAGAAACAGGTGTTCTCCCGTGGATTGGTTATGAACAAGAAGAAGAAATGAAAAAACAAATTTTAGATCTTTCAAAAGTTGGTTATCACATTTTCTTGATCGGCTAAATATTTTTTCTTTCTTTAGGAAAAACGTAATTTTCTTCGCGATGCACCACCAGGAGCAGTTTATCATTTTGATATGACTACATGCTATCCAGTTGCATTAGCTATTCTTGAAGTTGATGAAAATTTAAAACAAATGCGCTTTGATCTTGTACCTAAACAGTACGAATATTTATACATTTAAGACTCTTGACAACAGGAAATTGTTTTTGTTTTTGTTTTAGAATTAACGAAGAATTATTTTGGCGTAATTATTTTTATCGTGTAAGTTTAATAAAGCAAGCAACTCAATTAACCGCTTTAGCCAGTGGCAATAGTATGTTATTGTCTACATGCATTGTCTTTTCTTTTTTTATTAAAATATTATTATTTTAGCCAATCATCAGTCAACCGATGAAAATCGTCACCCATCAAATAATCTTGGTAAATCGAAAGGCTTTCTTCGAAGGAACGAACACGCATCTCGATAGAAGAATTCTTTTCTCATGTCAATAATTAATATTTAGTTAAAAAGTATTGTTCTGAAAATTGAATTAGATTAAGTACTTATTCAATAGAACGCCCTTTTCTATCTTGAACAATCATATTCTATAAATAGAGTACGAATTACTTAGCAAAAGATTCTGTCGTAGGATTTTCTATCAATAAATGAGTGGAAAAAATGAATTTTTTATTTCTCGATTTCAGAACGTCGAACATCCGAATTGAATGAAAAAACTTCAGATATTAATCAAGAATTTGTCAGTGAAGATTATGATACCTCAGCTTTAAGTATGGACGATATTCGACGTGAAATCGAACAGTTAACTATTACGAAACGAAGCTCAAATAAAACCAAAGACGGTAGTCCCGGTAATTATCGGCCTACGATTTTTTTCTTTGATAATCTTCGATATATTTTAGATTTAGATGAAAGTGAATGGGACAAAGGATTAGCCGATGAACTTGAGAATGTGTCCGCTGAAGAACTCGAAGCACAAATCAATCAATTATTAAGCGATTCTAAATGAGAATTTCAATTGTAAAAAAACTATTTTTCTTTTTTGAATGCAATAAGAGAATTCATTATCATTTTTCTTTGTAAATCTAAAATTATTACAGCTATGCTTTATTTTTTAAAATAAATTAATGAAGGTGACGGTAGTAATAAATATTTTAAATAATATTTATTTTTTTAGACAAAAAAAAGACGAAATGGCAACCAGAAAAGGTGATTTGTATTAAATTAAAGAAAATTACAACAAAAAAAAATCGAACTCTATTTATGTTTCGTAGCATCACCACGTAACAAAACGAAATCAAATACTAACGAGGGTCAATATTGAGTTGACATATTTTGCCTTAGTAACAAAAAATTTATTTCTAGAGCAAACAGTTGATGTCAAACGTCGTCGGACTCTAAAAAAAGAAACTCATATTGAGTACGACTCCTTAGAAAAATATGGATATCATTTTAAAAGTAACAATCTTCATGTTTTGATTTGAGAGATTTTTATTTTTCCTATTTAAAAAGACGGAAAGCTGGTTACAATTGAAACTGATGAACCATTCGAATTCAATTTCTATTCGGACAATGACGAAAATCAAAAGCGATATGAATCTATTGGTAAATTAATTGACGAGGCGATATTCAAACTGCTTGAGAGCGAATGCCATTTGAAACGAGTTACCGTCCCCGTATGTCCATTGATTGATATAGCATAAAAGAAATAGTTATCGGTTATTTCTTGAAGGTTGACCCGAAAAAGGAGGAACGCACAAGTTTTGTTTTCGTAAGTGATGATTTAGCAACTGCTGATTATCTCATGGTGATTATTCATGGCACAGGAGTTGTACGTGCTGGTCAATGGTCGCGAAAGTAATTTATTGATTGATAGATTTTTATTTGTCTTACTCTATTTTCCTGTTAGATTAATAATCAATGAAGGCTTAGAAATTGGCACTCAAATGCCGTATATTCAACGCGCACGAACAGCTGGTTATGCAGTCATTGTTACTAATACTAATTTAAACAGCTTTGAATCCCCTCGATTTCTTCGTCGTCCAGCACTACGGCCTATTCGTGTATGTTTTTCATATTTGAAAACAAAAGTCGAATTGCTAGTTTTCACCCGCCGATAGCGAGGAAATAATAGGTTTTTACATGCCAGTGAATTTTCTAGGGTAGTGGCACTGCTGAAGAACATGGTTGTTATGTATGGGAACATTTTATTCGTTCAAGTCATGCTAAACATGTTTGTATTATGGCACATTCATATGGAGGTGCAGTAGTACTCAAAATGGTTTGATAGATTTTTTCATCTGAATTTTCTGTTGATATCTGTAGTGATTTTCTTTAGGCTTCTCAATTTCTTAAAGAATTTGATCAACGAGTTTTTGCTGTAGCACTTACTGATTCACCTGTGACAGTCTACGGACGAAAAGTGAACAGAAAGGTTTTGGAAATGCTAAAAGAGGTATTTATTTTTGCTAAGAAAATAACAACACGACGACAATGAAAGTTCTTTAATTTCATTTTAGAGAGCGATTAATTGGGTTGCTGATGCAGAAGATGTAAATACTGATTTAGGCGATAGTGATTGTTGTGAGTTACGATCTGCAGGTAAAGAAAAAGAAAAGAAATGAAAATTTTAAAATATCAATTATGATTTTTTTCGTCTAGGTCATACAGTACATGAGTGGACATCGCATACAGCAATTGATGCGATCTTCGACTATTTCACTGAAGAACGTGAACAACTTTAATAAAAACAATGATATTTATTTGTGATATAGAGAAAAAATGACAATTAAAATAATGATTTTGTTTTGTGATAAATGTTTTGTGCATATTAATTATCTTAGTAGAGTATGCTTAAATTTTAGATGGTTAAGTCGACTCGTCGACCACTTAGGAATTCTTGTTGATTTTGCTTCTTCGAATCAATGCGGGTTAGCACCAGGCTTTCAATCGCTGTACAGCATTTTACAAGCCACAAAAACAAAAATGGGCGGTCGAACACTACGAGCCAATCTAATGGAACCTTTGATTGGTAGGATTTTTAGAAAGGACTGTTAAATTCAGAGACGTTTAATGTAATTTTGATAGATGTTAATTCAATTCATTATCGACAAGATGCTGTGGAAAATTTAATTGATGATGAGAAATTAATGTTTCAAATACAAACAATACTTTTACATTTTACGGATGTTGAACGTAAGGAGAGATTTTTTATAGAAAATTAAATATCGATTGACGTTTGTTTTTAGGTATTATTCTTGCTTGCATACAAGAAAATCCAAGTCGTACAGTAGCAGCTGCTGAAAAACGTATTACAATGATAAATCAACTTCGACGTATTCTTGATATACTACCAACACTTCAACAAGCCCTTGAACAATCGACTTGTGAACTTTTGAAAAATCTCTGTTCCGTAATTTAAAAAAAACGTTTACATCTTCTTGCACAATAAATCAACTGATTTTTTAGATTTTAAATGATCAACGTTTTCAAGCGATACTTGATCTTTTAAATGGACAATTAACAACCGAACAAACGGTTTCAAGTAATGGATTTCTTGCTTCGAAAATTCGACGGATTTTCGCCATACGAGTAGGTTCTTCCTCTCGCTGTAGCTCAGATAAAATCTAATCTATGAAATTTATTATTCTAGAATGGTCTTGACGAACGTCTCGATAGTCTACGTGCTGACGTTATTGTTCTTATTGATGATGTTGAATGTAAGTTTATGCATTGATTTCATTGTTGTCTACAAAAGAAACACATTTTCATTAGTATTGGAAAAAGAATTTTCCGAACGATTCAGTATGCCTGTTCGGTACAATTTAACAAATGCACGTGGGTTTTCATTGGAAATCATCGGCGAATTTAAAGGTGTTCTACCGGCTAATGTCATCTCAGTAGCTAAACGACAAAAATCAACATTTATTACAACACTACAATTAGCTCATCTTTCGGATCGATTTGAACTTTTATACAACGACATTTGTCTGCTAACAGATCAGTAAGATTCGAGACAATACCTCACTAATGCATTCCTTTCAGTGCGAACGAGTTCATGACACAAATGAAACTGATGATTTCGTTTTTTGTTTTAGGATTATTTTAATTCTTCTTGCAAAACTTCGGCCACATTTTGGTTGTATGTATAAACTTGTTGAAGCCATATCAATCATCGATATGATCCAATCATTTGCTGAAGTAACGAAAGCGCGTGATTATGTTCGACCTATGTTCGGACCGAATACAAAAATAAGCAAAGCACGTCATCCAGTTATCGATCTGTTCGGTCAACAGAAACCAATCGCCAATGATATTGAATTATGTAAAGAAATGAATGTTATTTTGGTTACAGGACCGAATATGAGTGGAAAATCTACATATCTTCGGCAAATTGCTTTGCTACAAATTTTAGCTCAAATCGGTAAAATGATTTTATAATAAAAAAATAGTTACAATTTTTGTTTTTTTTTAAAGGCTGTTTCGTGCCAGCTGAACAAGCTAGATTTCGAATTGTAAATAAAACTCTGATTTCATTTTCCGAAAATAATTGAAGAATTTTTTAGGTTCATGAAATTTTCTCAAAAATTCGTCAACACGATAATTTATTTACGGGACAATCGACATTTTCATCTGAAATCAATCATATCTCATTTATTCTTAGCTCGATGACACCAAACTCAATGATTATTCTTGACGAAGTAACCGCTCTATTTCAAACCAATAAATTTATTCTTTTCTACTTTTGTAGATTTGTTCAAGTACATCGACAAACGAAGGTATGTGAACATAGGAAAAAAAATTCATTCGAAATAAAAAATACATTTTTATTTCGTAGGTCTGGCTTTAGCTACCAGTATAACTGAAACATTGTGTCGTTCACAAGCATTTTCAATCATTGCAACACATTTACAACAATTAACATCTGTTGGTTACATCCATCGAAATCTTGCTAATTACCACTTCGATGTTATTTATAATGATAAAATCAGTAGCGACGTTGATAGTGATTTAACACATCGCTCACGTCATTTTCATCCACCACAGGCAATGCTCAATCGATTACAAGAACAGAATAATATTATCTATTCCTATACACTTCGACCGGGCATATGCAAAGATCTTCATTACGGTAAGAAAAGAGGAATCTTTTTACAAAGTAAAATTGCACTCGAAAAAAATGTTTTAGGCATTGCTCTAGCGTCACAAATTGAAGATTTACAAACAGTTGTCGAATTAGCTAAATGTGTAGCTAAATATTACATCCGAAAAAAAGAGGTACTTATATATATACATATCAGCGGTTAGTGCTAGTCCCATGAGTAATCACAAATATGCAATGTGAGACATGTGCGGCTTATCACTTTTGTGTAGAACCAGGGAAAAGTTATATTTCATGCAGGTCGTTCCCATTGACTACCTTGAGAAGTGTAAGTATGTGGAAATTCTGCAAAATTGTGTTTTTTTTGTTAGCCATACAAGAGAATATATCGTTGACTTGCATCCTTGAGTCTTATCAACATGAATTAGCCTGTCTCAATATCAAGGAAAGTAGACATCTCGAAAAACACAGAAACTTGTTGATAGAGTTTCTTTGAAGTCTGACACCGATGTTTTTGTTGAAAACAAGAATTTACAATAACATCTCATGCCGAGAACATATTGACATGTGTCAGAAGCAATCGATAGACATCCTAATCTGTGTGAGATACAGTACCCTAGATACGTCTACATTAAGATCTAAATTCTAAATCTTTCATTTAGTCGGTGATGAATCAACTGTCGAATATTCCGAATTTATTGATGAAACGTGTTATTATCATGAAAAGTTTCTGTGATTTAATTTATGATGTATTGAATAATGCAATACAATTTATCGAACAACAACGTGTTTATCTTGAAAACTTTCAAAAACGTATGCACCAACATTGGTCAATATCATCAGAGGAAGACGATGATGACATTCCAATCGAATTAACTTCATCGCCTACCATTGAAAATGAATAGGATTATACATATATATATATATATATATGATAGTAATAGATTTATAGTGAATAAATAGTAAATATTGTTGTTACTTCTTAGGAGGAAAATTTTTTTTCTAAACATTGGTCTTATTTGTGAAGACGCAAGAAGAATCGTACTAGTGTTTTCTTTTCAAATGCGATATTTCCGCTGGGAAAGACACGGAAATTTTTTTGGCTATTGGAGGACGTATTAAAATTCTGCTTTTACGAAATTCATTGGTGGATCCGAGATGAAACTTATGAGACCGAGTGGTCAATATTTTTATTTTATGCGTCTTATTTCATTTTCTCAAGGTCTAGAATTGATATGTGTCTTTTTGTAACAACACTTATGGTCTATATAAGCATACATTGGAATGCAGACAGAATCCTATTGATGATGGAGAAGCGATACTGTGCTGAACGATCGCGGAAATCGAACTAACATTGTTGTAAATTAGAATCATCAATCAAATTACATTTCCAATCAAAATATCACATTCGAGATAAACATTGTGCGCCATGTTCGACAGCAAAAACATATGTGCAAAGGCGTGCACATGTCACTGATCTTCATTGAAAGATATTGATGGTTGTAATAAGTGCCAACAAAAACAAATAGATTATGATCATCATTGTGCTTGTTTCAAAAGCAACACAAACTTGAACAATTGCCGTTAAGTTTTTATGCTCTGAGTAGATTTGTTAACGGTTAGAAAACGTCGTCCGTCGTGGAGTGCAAGTGCATTGACTTTGTAATCAAAGGATTCAAGGTTCGATTGCTCGTGACAAGGGAGCATTTTCCTTTTGTTCCCTTGCGCCTTCATTTCATCGCATTGTTGGAACGATTATAACGGGAGTATTTTAAGAGCGAAATTAATGACATAGCAAATATATAATGACATGCAACAATTACATTTGATATCTTCAAGCATTTTTACACTTGAACTAAAATTCAAGGTGAACTATTCGATTGATATTAATGTTTTCTTCGAGCTTCTATGTCATCTAGTGCAGATAATCATTTTCAATTAACACATAAACTATGTTCTTATCAATGCATTTTCTATTAATAAATAATCTTAACTTCATTGAATCCATAAATCGGCGTGCATTGCATGACATATAGTCTGTTCTTTAAAGTTTTCTTTCCTTTTGTTAGTAAATAACAAATGTCGTTTAAGTTCGCCATATGTCTTTGTCAGCTATTAAATCACATCATTTGTTTATTTCTAATGTGATCGATTTTTCTAGTTAGTCGCAAATAGTTCTTCTTTTTGTTTCGTTACTGTCGACCTTTTGACAAAGTACTGCCCGTCAAGGTTATTCTGTAGAACTGCCATGAGTCATCAACACTATTCCATTCATCATAATCGAGTAGATAACGAAATTTTTCTTCTTCTTGAACACATTGCTCATCGACATGAATAAGAAAAATGTAATAATCATACACCTGTAGGATATACTATCTGAAACATTTAGTGCATTGTATCGAACAGCTCCTGTCAGGGTCAAACAAGATCATCGATAAGTATGATTGCCTAATGTTCACAAAAAGAAATCAGCGAGATCTATTGATATCTTATTATTGAAATCGAGTTAGCGAACTTCTATCATTTAAATATTTGCGTAAGTGTCATGATACAATATGTAATTATCTTATACATACATTAAACAAAAAAAAAACAAAAGGAATTATCCATTGGGAAATCTTTTCACGCCAGTTTCCATAGCGTGTGTATTTTAACTAATGAACTGCCGCTATCAAAAATTGTTTTATACAACTGCCGATTGTATTGTTCATTATTCATCATATCAAAATACAATGAAACATTCCTCCTTCTATTGATATATATATATATATGTATACATTAATGACTGTGGGTTAGAGTATGCGCATACACATTCAATTGGCTTGATATTGAGCATTGATATCTTACACGATTATATAGTAGCCTGAGTGTTTATTTACAGAACGTATTCTATGATGAACCTTAACAGGCGGTCCATCGTACTGCTCAGTGTCTACATCTAATTTGAACTTTGATTATTCTCGTTTTTTTCTCCGTGTAACATTGACACACATAGAAATAATAACATCCTCAACAACATTGACGAGAATCTTAGAGAGATAGCAACAAGGAAAACGATGGTCAATCAGCCACGCATTTGCCACTTGTGTTGATTCAATTTGCAAACCCTCGCTATAGGATAAATTGCTTCTACTTTATGCAGACTCTTCTCTCGACAATTATCTCGATATCTTGATACCTTCAACTCAACACGTCATTCTCTCTCGTAAGTTCTCATCTATCATCACTATCTGTCTATCTTCTTTTATTGCCGTTTTTTTCTTCTATAGCGCACAAAAAGTTCTTTTGTCTTGGCTCCTGTTTCTATATAACGATATTGTACGTACAATGTTTTTTGTGGCACCACATGCCAAAGAATCAATGACGAGAGAAGAAGAAGAAGAAGAAGAAAAAAGAAATCAATTACTTACAACGTACGTAATCATTCGTGCTATTGTAGTCGTAGTGCCGAGAGAAATTTTCTCCTTCATTTCTCTCCCGATCGTTTGATCATCCATATAATCACGATCACCCAATACTCTATGAACACATAATAACTATAAATCAGGTGTGTAATAAAAAAAAAGGAAATAATTAGATACTGGCTGAATAAGCGTTAGTTTATCTCCATAGAATCGATGGCTTCTGTTTATTAATCTTGCGCTTAATGTTATCTTCTTTGGTGCCTTTATATTGCAATGATTTGAATATAATGTGTTTATTTATTTTTATTTATTTATTTCCCATTCATTCAACATTATCATTATTCGCCGCGAATACATTCAACTTTCCATCAAGACCCAATAATTATGTTGCTTTTGAACCTTGGCGTCCGTGTCTAACCGGTTATGTTCGATTTGATATACGAACCACTGCACAAGATGGTACACTCGCCTATATAGATGATCGTGGAAAATTCGATTTTTTCTACTTAAAATTAATTGAAGGTAAACTTCGTCTCCTATTTAATTTGGGCAGTGATCGACAAGCTTTAAATGTGAATATGAAAATCAATGATGATAAATGGCATACAATATTAATTAAACGTAACGGACAAACGACGATACTCAGCATTGATAATGGATTAGTGCAAAATTCAACTATAACACATTCAGAAGATTTATATTTTGGCGGAGCTACATACAATGAATATCAAGCATCACCATTTTACTTTGGAGGTAATGACAGTGAGCCTATCAGCATGGTTTTTACTTATCGGATAGTGATGTTGACAAGAGATATCCGTTTTTGAATATATTAAAAAAGTTGTCTTGGATGATTACTTTTACTTGAATGAAGATCAATCTCGAAGTTCTTCATTTTCTTTTGATTGAAAGACTTCGTTATTCTAATGAACTCTAAGACTGACTGATTCCAATAGGAGAAGTATTTGAAGTGACATGACTGGTTCGGCGCAATAGTAAAAATTCGCTATGAATAATCTCGCTGAAATAAGAGAATATCCACTGATTGTATGTAAATCTCTTATTATAATAGAATGAATTATTCTGTTTTGACGGTATTAATCAACGTATGGCTTAAGAGAGAATGGAAATATGCCCATTGTTGAAAGAGTAAATCAAATAACAAAGTTATCGACTGTCGTAATGATCTGCTATTAGGGGTTGTACTTGGCAGCGAACATGCATTTTCTAAGATGAGAGTATGATCTAAAGTATTTTTCAAATCTTATTTATAAAAAATATCTTTTCACGCACAACCAGAAGTACGTTGCTATCTGTCAATAGTATTGCGAAACAACAAAAACTCATCTATTCTATAGCCCTGTTTGATAAAATTAATTGCCGGCTGGAAAAGACAAAGATCATCATCATTAAGTCGTTTTTCATTATTTTACTTTTCAGGTATTCCGTCAGTATTAGAACGACCAAGTTCAGGAAATTTATCATCCTTTGATGTTTATATGCAACCACGTTTTCGTGGTAAACTACGTAATTTGATTTATAAGAATTGTACCAATACTCGCCTGACTCAACCCGATCCCATCGATGTAGCCGATGGTGTTTCATTAGTTCCCAATGCATATTGCTCGTCAACAATCTGTGGTATGGGTATATGCTTGATAAATGATAACAATAGTTATAAATGTCTTTGTGATGAGACATATTTTCAAGGAAGTAATTGTCAATATGAACGACAAACAAATGAAATAACGTTTCATGGTAAAGAATACGTAAAATATAATTTACCGAGTTCGATATCAAGTGCAAATGAAATCTTAACATTTGAATTTAAAACAAATCATTACGATGGTCTTCTATTTCAATTGATGAATTCAAAAATCGAGATTAAATTTAAACAAGGACAATTGTTTATAGAATATCGTTTGAATAATTCTTCCTTTGAATCGTCAACCAAAAATCTCTATTTAATTGATAATCAATGGCATTACGTACAAATAAAACGTAAATACAGGCAAATAACAATACTGATCGATCAATATTATCTGGAATTCGAAAATGATCAAAAAATCGATCAACTATTTAATTTTACGCAAATATTAATCGGAGGAAATAATGATTTAAACGTCGAAAAGTTCTACGGTTGTGTAAAAGATATTTCGATTATATTTAATGAAAATTTAACAATTGATTTCAATCAATCGTTAATCAACTTTGATGAATTTAACATGGTACAAAATTTGAACTGTAAATCTTTAATAAATCCTATCCGTTTTCTCGTTTCATCATCATTTATTTCATTTGATCTGCCAAGTTTTTCTCATGAACTGAATATTTCATTTCGTTTTCAAACGCATTCGTCAAATTGCGTACTTCTATTCAGTCAATCGAATCAAGATTTTCTTGGCTTCGATTTAATCGACGGATTCTTTTTTATCACATTAAATATAAATAAAAAACGGCAACGACAAGAATTATTTCAACAACGCTTCAATGATGGACAAACACATTATATTCAATTCGAAATGCGCACTTATCAAATAGGACTAGAATTAAATATAATCATCGATTATAGGCAAAGTACAAGAATATCAATTCGAACTTCATTATCAAAAATAACTGTGAGTCTAGAAACTTCAGTATAAACAGGAGCGTGACGTCACCCTTGGTTTGTTGTGATTTAGTTACGCAACGTTTCTCGTGGGTGTTCGCCTGTAGAATTTTCCCTAATGTGTTAGTAGCTGCAGGAAATTGTTTTTCAGAAAAAATTTCTCCCTCAAATACTTGTCCACTAGTTCGGTGCGCCTCTGAATATAAAATCGATTTGATTCAAACGCTTAACACAACAGCTGTTCATGTTTCTCAGAATAACGATTAGTGTCAAAGCGAACGATCTGAAAGGCTAGACCAACACTTTCACCAGCGAGTGTTTCTCAAGACAACAAATCGGGCTTAAATCCGTCTCGATTATCTTCTCGGATAATCTCCATGCATACCACAGAATTCGCCCGTTGAAGTTTTTCTTATAAACAAATGATACATTTCCTATGAGCTGATCCGAATGAGAATTTGACTTCAGTGGATTTGCCCTTGCCGACTGAAATCTGTACAAGTAACTAACAGCTTTTTCTATTAGATAACCGGTCTCGATAGCTTATTGACCTATACCTTTCTTCGAATGTGAACGTTCTAGAAATAATTTTTCTTTAGTTACATGCAATGACGGTCGGCGGTGTTAACCCTTCAATGCGCGCGTTGCCAACTAATTACTTTTCTGGTATAATGCATCGCGGTTTAATTGGCTGTTTCTCAGACCTTGAAATCAATCATGAATTGATTGATTTAGAAAAATACATAAACTATACAATTAACAACAATAACATAATACCGAAAAGTGGTCCGTGTTCAACAGCACTGTCAACAAAACGAGAGTGCTCATGTGAACATCATGGCGAATGCCGAATAAACAATGACGGTACATGGTCATGTGATTGTTCGAAAACTGGATATACGGGTCGACGATGTGAACAACTGGCTTATCATTTAGATTTAAGTGAAATTCAAACGTTCGAATTAAATACGAACGTACAATGGAGTGAACAAATTAGTGATATTTCATTTCGATTGCAGGTAATAGACAATAGATGATTTGTTTTAAGTTTTACCGGAAAACTTTTAGGCTCTACACGATGAAGATGATTTTCTGCAAATTCGTCCGTGTCCTCTATCATTAAAATGTGATTCGATTAGTTTTTCTATTCATAATGGTCTTTTGAATGTTTATTTCTATTTAATAAATTTAACAATTGAATATCCGTTTGTACTCGATAAACAATGGCATTCAGTACATTTGCAACGTATTGATACAAACTTCTTAGTACATATTGATCATCATATAATAAAACAAAGTGTGAATATAATCAATTTAAATCTATCTTCACCCTCAACTATTTGGCTAATATTTTATGGGAATAAACAAATTCGTATAGAAGATTTACGTTTATATGATCAGCCGATGTATTCGAAATTTTTTCTCAATAATCAACATACACAAATTAAATTGCAGCATCGACCATGGAAACCATTAAACACGGTTTCATTTGAACAGCATCAAAATTCTTTTATTGAAATTCAACTGCAAGACGTTCTCTGCCAAGATTGTCAATTGGATTCGTTCTATTTTCAATTCCGCACGAGAGAGCAAAATGGTATTCTCTTATTTGCCAATATTCAAACGAATAGTCCTAAAATCCGGTATGGTTTTCGGCGAGAAAAGTGAAGAATCATCCCCGTTTGTTACTCACAGTATATCCGAAAAAAAGAGAATGGCTTTTAGGTTTTCTCAATTCAAATATTTTCTATAGGACAGTTGCTTGCCTCGAGGATTGAGTGTCTGTATGTATACGTGAAAGCCTTACACTAGTGATCGTGAGATAAGACTCAAACCGAAGAGGGTCCGCATCTTGTGACGAAGTTGACTCTGAAAATATAAGGCGTGCACTGGCTATCCAGTAGGAAACCAGAGACGCAAGATCCTTTATCTTCGGAACGACTGTCGATTACATATAAATCTTTCTTTTCAGTACTCATCTATCGGACAATCAGCTGAATAAAACTGATCAATATCTTCTCATGAAACTAGTCCATGGTCAACTTCACTTAACGATTGTCGACACTTCTACGTCTGGAAATACCGATGAAAATTACGAACTTCAAACTAAAATTCATCTTGACAATGATCGCTGGCATCATATATTCTTCCATCGTGCGAGTGATCATCATTTAGAGTTAATTATTGATTCAAATGAATATTATCTTTTATCGTCGATCTATTTTCTTGATAAAATTTACATTGGTCATCCGCCGAATATTCATTTTGCCAATCCGATGTCAACAATACGAGCTTGTCTTGCCTCGTTGACACTGAACAGTCGTCCAATAAATCTACGTGAATATATCAAACCGAATTCACCAATTCGAAACGATTGTTTTCTTGATTCCCAATGTCCATTGAGACAATGTCAAAATACAGGAACGTGCCTTGATCGTATTCAATGTAATTGCCAACACACAAGCTTTGAAGGGCAATTCTGTACAAATTTAAAAATCGGTTATTCGTTTGATGATTTTACATCTGGTTTAATATTTGATCAGCCGTTTAATCAAGACAAACCCTTTTCAACTTATAAACTTACATTTGGTATTATGACAAAAATAAAAAAAGCTGAAATCATTCGTATAAACGATCAAATAGTTCTTGAACTCTACAATGGATTTATAAGAGCAAAATTAATTGGTAATGAATATGTACAGAATGAACATCCAATTAGCGATGGTTATTATCATTTAGTAAAAATTGAATATAATTTAGTGGAAAATTTCCATGTAACTGTTGACAATAAAGTACAAACGAAACGTTTAACAAACAAACTCGTATTCGATAAGCCATTATTATTATTAATCGGACAAAATCCAGCATTTAAAAATTCATTTCAAGTAGGACAATTAAAATACGGAATTGTTTTACGCATAATAGCAAATCACTTTTTCAATGACAAAGACGCTTATCGGTTGAGATGATCATTTTTTGGTCTCAGCGATTCTAGCTATTCTATTATCTGTTCGGATCTAGTGAAAAATAGCCCAAAGTTTCCTTGTCTCTCATTTCGAAGATGCTTCTTCAGTACTCGTAATTTTTATTTCGTAACTAAAAATATAACTCAGGTCTACTTCATTGTACTCCGAAGCCTTGCGCTGTTCATCTTGTTGATATGTAAGAAAATGCTTGTGTTTCGAAACAAGAGCATCTCTATGACTAGCTGGCATTTCGATATGAGTAGATTTGTCTAAACCAGAATTGTAACGTTGATGGTTGAAAATTTTACAGCAGCTTTGTTCTTAACCCTATTTTTGGCTATAAAAAATTGAGCTTTCCAAGATGCAAAACATGCCATCTTAATCATTTGTTTGGAGATTCTTTTAAAAAGATTTATTATTGGAGCCATTTTTTCGTCGATAGAAAGTGTGACTTCAATCGACCGGTTCCAGGCCTAGTCTAGGTTTAAATTTTCGACTACGGCTATCTGCGCTCATAAGACAATATCTTGATACAATAAAGCGACAAATTCCCGTCGAATTCATTCACATCGGACAGAAGTCGAAATAATTTTTCTGATATTTTAGGGCCAATTGTATGGACTTGAATCGGATGTTTATTCTATATTTGATTTAATTTCGCCGACATTCCAACGCATTTCATTTACACCAATTCGAAATAAATCTCTATCTTCAATTTCTTTTCTATCATCAATTATTCATCCGTTGCCTGTAGCACAAAATGGCGCAATACAGCCATCCTGCTCATATCAATCCTCTGACGATATATGCATAATCACATCAGACACCAATTCTATCTCATTATTATATCCTAATATAACACTTCAATCATCGGTACCTATTCGAATCTCATCTGAATCTAGAGGTAAATCATTATCGAAACATTTCTCAAACTCAACATTATCACACAACCAATTAAATTTCCATGCATCAAACTCAACAAATAATAACCCTATTTCATCGTCGATGATCTTCGTGCGTACACCGAGCACAAACGGATTTATAGAAAAATTTCATTGGAGAAATATTTGGTTCATTGCTGGATGTGCTCTCATTGGTTCTCTATTTTGTATTATATTATCAACATGTGCTTGTATAAAATATCGTCGAAAAGATGCAGGTGTTTATGAACTTGAAGAGACACAACGTTTTCGACCTCTAATCATTGAATTATCTTCTTCGCCCGGTGATCATAATCAAGAACTATCAAATTCGACAGCAAATATGTTCAAAAACCCACATAGTAAAGCACATAAGCGACGAAAACGTAAAGGCTCATTATTACTAAGACCTGATGAACAACGAGAATTTTATATTTAAAAATATTTCTCTCATTTTTACAACTATTTTTTTCCTCTTGTGAACGTATACGATAGATTTGAGCACAATAAATAATCATTGTCAAAATAATTTCTCATTATTGCGTTGCCATTTGTAGAAGAAAAAAAAGGTTATTTATAGACGCGATCAACGATAATAGAACATCTTCTATTCTCAAAACAGTTTACCCTTATCTCTATTCAATCGAGCAAAAAACGACTGTCTGTAATGAGAGCAACATGCCCTACAGGCCAAAAGAAACGGGTAGATTAATAATATTGAGCAAATAACAGATGCTTTTGTCGAATAGAATCAGAAATGACACTCAGGCAAATCATAGGCATTGTTTTTGTTATAAGCGTGTATTTTGAGGCAACTGATTGGTGAGTAGAAATTTTATGTCATTGAATTGTCTTATAATAGTGTAACTAAACCCTTTGCTTCATTATAATGGATTACGAGATGAATAAGTAACAGTCAAATAAAGAGCTTAACTTAGTCTATCGAACTGTAAGTTGTGCGTTGATTTTTACCGTAGAAAATTTTAGCTAGTTCAGAGTTTCTCTTTTTTTAAATTATTACACAGCTATGTGATGTGCGTTAACTCAGTACGATCCAATTTGTATCACGCATATCTATGTTGATTAACGCTGTTCGTTGTGTTACATATGGAGAATAAAACTATTTCTTGTGAATAATCAAATATAATGAAGTCTCAAAAACATGACAACTCAAAGATCTATGATGTTAAATTAAATGAGAATCCAAGTCTGCATTTTTTTGATAACGATGAACATGATTTTAGAAAGATTTGTGATCAAACTGAAGACATAATTCGAGTCTACAACGGCTCATCAAGCCAGTCATGACACTGCAGCATTTACATTTTATTTTAAAAACATCCAACTTACTGCTAATTCCATGGATTCGCAAGTTTGTATTTCAATACTGAACTCCTAATTAGTGTTCTGAAAATTCATGATTTTCTTTTGTAGTAAATATATGTTTCAGTAAATATTTTAACATCACGATCTATTCTAAAGCATGATCTTAGTGGCATTTAGCTTACTTTCTATAGCGTTTTAAGTCAGTATTTGAACAGTATATTTAGTAACTAAATACAAGATAAAGTTTGTAACAAGTTGATTATTAGCGTTTGAGTTAATTTTGGAGTGCTATTTTTAGTAACACTACGTCATAGAATGAGATTCATTCATCGCGCTTGCATGATCTTGTCATCGACACAATGTCTACATAATCTTTTTCATGCTCCATAGAAGGAAACGGATGTGAACAGCAACATAATATAATTAGGTTTTAACTGGCATTGAAAATTTCCCATGGCAGTTAAACAATTTTATATCGTATATCCGTTGTTATGCCTATCGAAATAAAATGACCCAAAACTAACATAAATGTTCTGTTAGGTGCTGATAGAATCCTGTTTTTAATGAGGATTACCCACCCCTCCCCCTCCGCACTGGTAAATCAAAGGCCCACATTTATGCTGTTACAAATATCCCAATGTCTTGTGCCAATAAAACTATAATTATGCAGTTCCACTAAATTATATGTGGGGGAAATTCTCTGAATAGAATAAATCCAAGGTCAAGTGGATATTGATGATGAAATCTTTCGTTACAGAACTGATAAAAGAAATATTATTTTTCGTTGGCTTTGTCGAGTAGATTATCAATCAGCTTTTCCTAATCTTATGTCATCTGCACTTTGTTAAAATGTTCATTTGCTTAGAGAAAATTATTTTTCTATGTGTTAATTGAAAAATAGAGAAAGAAAAAAATGTATAAAAATCCTTCAAAAAAGAAAATTTTAATTTCTAGAGAAAAATTATGAATAAGAATCTCAACAAGAAGCCGCATAGTTTTTTAAATATGGGTGCGAATGTCTTTCAATGAGTAAAATATTCCATGGGTATAACATTATTAAATAGATGTTCTATACGAAATTTCGCTAGCATCGTTTTTTTCTCATTGTTTCAAATCGAATACAGAAAAAAACTGGAACTCATAAAATGACGAATCATGATTTTATATGATATTGATATATGCATATATTTGACTAGGCTGTATTTTAACAAGTTTATGATTAACTTATCGTTATATTCATTCTATGCAAGTTACTTTGTACTGTTAGCAGATATTAACGAAGCGACAAAACTAACTGTAAGTTTAAAGTTTATTTCAGTAATTTCAACAGTCAATGCGTCACGAAACTTGACTCAATAAAAATGAAACTGTAACATCGACAATAACTGTCAAGTGAGAAAAAATCTTCTCGTATTTTTAACTGGCTTTGGAAGTAAATGTACGTTTTCAGCCAATAGAAAATCAAAAGTTTATAGTGTTTGAATTGGTGTTTTCTGCATCAGTAGCTATTTTACTTCTAAAAGTATTGATCGTTGAATTTTCTGACGAAATTAAAAGAAATAAAATTGTAATTAACATCAAACGAACAATAAAATCTGATTTTATAACAACAACTTAAGCAGTCAGTTTCCGCTTGTCTGTTCGATGAATTTATATCGTGTTATGTGTCACATCGATTATACGCTATTCGTTCGAATGAGACTCGCCAGTGTAATAGCATTCGCCTTTTCTATTCCGAATGAATAACAGCATTTTTTAAATGAAAATGTCAAGCATCCCACATGTACTATTTTCCCATACACTAGTGGTCTCTATCATTGTGTATATAAACATTCAAAATTTATATCTTTGCTGATCATTATGAATAATCATTCATGCATTCACATTTATAAGTACCGTGAATGACATGAAAGGTATTTGGTAAATATGAATCATTGTTCTTGTTTTGGTTTTTATTATTATTCTCTCCTCCAGAATCGTAAATAACTTTTCGAACCAATCGCTGATGTGTGAAAGAAAGAAAAAACATGTTTTAACTACATGCAAAATCACTACTGTTATGATTGATTTTTATTCTACTAGCATATGCAAAAAAACAATACGTAAATGCACGTTCTTATCGCCTTTTCTCTTTTTATTTCATGTGTATAGATATAAATATTTTTTAAATATCAGTGGTAAAATAGAGCCTTCACTGAGTTAATCTCAAATATGGCTTGATTAAGTATTTTAGATATGTTCTTATTTATGTCAATTAATAATATGTAATCATTGAATTAAATTACAAAACAGTCAAAACGAAACACGAAAATAAAATACAATGGGTCAAACACTTTCTGGTAAGATAATATAAATACGTATATCAAAAGGTTACATAACGAAAACTTTCTAAATCTAGAACCTGTCACGTCAAAAGAGTCCGAAAAAGTAGAAAATCATCTGTACTCAGTCGGGAGTAGTAGCATGCAAGGATGGCGTATAAGTGAGTTTGAATTATACAGATGAATTCTGGAAAATATGCTAATAAAAATATTTTTCTATTTCGTTTCAAATTAATTTAGATATGGAAGATGCACATACACACATATTAGCTTTACCGGAAGACAAAAGTTGTGCTTTTTTGGCTGTCTATGATGGCCATGGTGGAGCTAAAGTTGCACAGCATTCATGTAAACATTTACATACACGGATTGCTAATCTACAGGAATTCAGTTCGTTATTTATTTTCTCTTCTATTTTCTATCGGCATTCGATAAATTGTCTTTTAGAACAAGGGAATATTGAAACAGCCATAAGAAAAGGTTTTATTGAGTTCGATAAAGAAATGGCTTTAGACGAAGAGATACGAGAAGATTTAGCAGGAACAACAGCCATATGTGTTATTATCAAAGACGATAAACTTTATTGTGGAAATGTCGGTGATAGCAGAGCTATTGCGTCAGTTAATGGCAATGTGGAAATTCTTTCAATTGATCATAAACCTAATAATGAAGATGAAAGAAAACGTATAACAGCTGCGGGAGGTTGGGTAGAATTCAATCGTGTTAATGGTATAGTTATTATCTATTTATTGAAATAAATCTGTAAGTGTCTTTTGATATAGGTAATTTGGCATTATCTCGAGCTCTCGGAGATTTCGTATTTAAGCAGAATCCCGATAAAAAACCAGAAGAACAAGTTGTAACCGGTGAAAATTAAAAACAATAATATTCATTTATTTATTCTATGAAAGTGATTTCGTATTTTAGCGGCTCCTGATGTTATGCTTAAAACAATCAATGAAGGCTGGGAATTTGTATTACTTGCTTGTGATGGCATTTGGGATGTGCTTAGTAATGAAGAAGTTTTAAAATTCGTCCGAGCACGAGTAGCTCTACAAATGCCACCGGAAATGGTATTCATAGATTTTTCGTTATTGAATCAATTGAAAGTCAGACATAGAAAAACAAGAAATCCGTCAGGTTTCAGTTTGTCCTACAGTCATTTAGTTCTTCAAGAGTCGAATTAGAATTTTCTATGAGTTTCGGACGAGGAAATTTGTTTTGTTTTGAGTAAATGAAATCTAAATTGTTAGCGTTGAAAATTTATTGAACTATCGAAAGGTTCAACTCGAGGACTTTTTAAATAGATAAACACTCTACAGACCAAATTTTATAAAAGATAGATTCAAGTCAAGGATTTCCGGAAGTAATCTATGCGAAATTTTTAATAAAAGGGTAGGCAGTTCCGTTGAGGAAAAGAGCGGACACAGGCAATTTCTCTTCTGAAAAGCTATTTTTAGTAGAATCCCTAGAGGGGCTAGGGTGGATTAGAATGCGAAACATGATGAGCTTATTTTTGTCAATCACAGAAAGATGAATTTTTTCTGATCTACTTTGAGATGCATTTGTCAGGCTAAAGCCCTCCAGTCGTGCACTAAGTAGTTCATCTGTCGTCGGTCGCTTATCAGCAAGATTGGCTACGGTCTATGATGTGTAAAAATCTCCCTTCTAGCTTTAGAAGAAATCAAAATTTTAAGAAGAATGCTCTTCCTATTAGATCTGTGAAGAACTAATGACGCGTTGTTTGGCGCCGAACTGTCAAATGGGTGGTCTTGGTTGTGATAATATGACAGTTGTACTATGTCTTTTACTTCATGGTGAGCCTTACTCAACATTGGCAGCCAAATGTTCGAAGAATGTCTCTAATGGAGATGTATCACCATCGAAATGAAGGTAACAAAATGATAGTTTTTGTTCATTTTAATCTTTTATATTGTTTTAGTTTCTCTACATGCACAATCGAATATTTGAACAGTTTGCGTTGATCTTTTTTTTTCTTTTTTCTCTGATAATATGACTGTGTTCCATCTTTGTAGAACAGTATTAACTACTGTATTTGTGAAGAAATCAAAAAAACGCTTTTTTTTCTCTCGATCTCTTTTTTTTTCTAAAAAATGCACAGGTATTTATGCTGTAAATTTATTTATATGCAAACGAATATGTATAAGAAGTTATTCTACAATATGCTACCCTTTCTATCTTTTCATGGGTGATTTAGGACTGCCAAAAAAGTGTTGACTTTGTATACATTTTCCAACTCTTTTTGTTTTTTATTCATTGTATTATAAATAAGTTGATGAGAACACAAACTACAAACAAATCAATTCATTGATTAATCATGCAAGAAGCGTCTTTTTCTGGCAGCCGGAAAAAACTTAATTGACAGAGATGATGACACATGCAATTTGATCTATAACGGAAAATTGATTTAACCATAAAGTATTTCCCATCGGCATCAAAAAATAGAACCACGTATCCGATGTTACTTGATGATTATTAATAGAGATAATAAACAGACATTGATTGTGTTCGAATTGAAATACTTGTAACTAGATAGATATTTATGTGGGTATTATGTATCATAGAAAAGAATTCCGAGTCATTCTACGCATGCAAACCATTCGCCGAAGTTTTAATTGAATAGGTTGTAAAAACATCAGCCTAGCCGATCTCGTTAGGTGAGATTATCGAGACGGCGAACCGATAGAAAACTTACGACTAGCGGAATTTCGGAATTCAGATATAAAACTCAACTGCCCTAAGACAAAATTCTATTGAAAATATCCAATCCGTCGGCAGCAATAACTCAAGAACAAGGAATCATTTCCATAATTATTAAGATCTGCATGAGTCACATATTAACCGGTGGAATCAAGACTAGGGATCCGTAAATCGCTTTTCTATCAGTCTCGGTCTTTAAAAACTCGACTTACTTTTACGAATAAATATAAAATTGGCATGAATGGTTTTAACTCGTGAACACCGAAAGCATTCTTTTATATGCATCTATCAGAACGGCAGATATACGACACGGGTTTTTCCAATTTCCAATTTTCTGATTCCGATCGTATGACTCTGCAAAACCAGTAGCACTTTACAAATAGAAAAATATTACAACAGATATTTTTCGAAGTAGTCCATAAAAACGTCTCTATTTATTTTTCATATCTCACAAGAAAAACGTATACAATTCGAAAATTCCGACTCTTGGAAACAGGCCCGTAATCACGAAAGATTTTTATACGAATAGTGATAGATATCAAGTCTTTAATCCGATCAAAATAATTAATATGAAAATATATTCGATAGTTTTTTTTAAATAAGTACGCACCGAGACTAGTTTGCAGATTCCTACTCAAGATATCTTGCTTCTTCATTTGATAGAATTTCTCTTTTTTCGCGAAGAAGTAATTGCTGAAATAGTGTTGGGTCATGATAATATTTTCTAGCGAAACAATGGATTTTATCGATACAGTTCAATGACCCCAGTGTCGAAATATTCTATTTTTACAAAAGAAAAAAAGCATCCAGTGATTCCTTCGGGAGCATTTTTACATAATAAAGTAGATTTTTTATTTAAGTGAATTAGATCCTTCGATTTGTGACAGACTGAGACCGAATTAAATAAATATTGCATTTGCACAATCCGAACAAATCATAAAAAAACGAATAGAAGATTAACCTATGCAGCAACAAAAAAAACAGGTCAACCACATAGATATGATGATCGTTATATTTACGCTGTATTAAAATGAATTTAAAAAACTTCACAGCCATTTGATTAATAGTATCCAACGACTAGAACAACAGTATAATATCTTTGAAGGCCGTAGAATGAATTTGAATTAAATCTATGGAATTTATAACATCTCGCGATGTATATTGAAGCTTTGATTTTAATAGTGAGCCCAATCGATGATGAAAAAAAGAATATTTTCTTACTAGCTGTTCGATATTTTAAGAGAATAAATAAAAAGCGACTCATCCATAGGCTTAGTCTTAGAAAAATACTGGCAAACTACTGTACCGATGAGTTTCCAATAGACATCGCCCTACTTTTTTTTCTGTATATTGAAGATCTACAATTAGTGGTTGCTTAAAATTCAAACCTCGCCGAGACTTATGTATGCTCGCTCGGTTGTTGTTTCGGTTTATTTTATTATCCTTGATGTTACTTGTTAGTATACAAAACAGAAAACAATAGCAACAACCAGTAAATATTCTTGTGTGTACGTATGTATAGAAAACGGATGACAAACAAATGGATCTTATTAATTTTTATCTTCTTTGACTTGTGCTGTACCACGAACACGACCAGTTCGTCGAGCAGCAATGAGACCAACTTTTCTACCAGGTGGTGCATAACGGCTGACTGTCGATGGTTTACCAATGTGTTGATGATTACCACCACCAAAGGGATGGTCAACGGGCTGAACAATTGCAAGAGATTATTTATAGAGAAAAAATGAAACAAACTTGAAGAGCGACTTACATTCATAGCAACACCGCGAACTTTAGGCCATGATTTTCGTTTCGCTTTAAATTTGTGATAAGATCGGCCAGCTTTCAAGATTGGTTTATCAATACGGCCACCACCGGCTACGATACCTATTACAAAACAGAAACAACATATTAAAAAGTTCTTATAAAAAAACAAATAAGAAATGTATGCAATCAGTAAAAGCCTCTAGATATGTTTTGTGATAATCATTCTGAATGTCAGACAAAATATCATTCATCATTTTGCATACATATAATTGATACACTTACCAACCATAGCACGATTTGCGGATGATAAATTTTTCTTAGCACCTGATGGTAATTTAACTTTTGTCTTACCACCTTCAGTATTATGTGAAACAATTGTTGCATAATTGCCTAGAATAATCGTTTGAAATATAAACAGCATTGCCGAACAAAAATCCTACCTGATGCTTTAGCTAATTTGCCACGATCACCAGAGGTTTGTTCAATTTGACAAATAATTGTACCTTCAGGCATTTGACCTAATGGCATAACATTACCGATGGTTAAAGCGGCTAGAACGAAAATATGTAAATTTGAATAAGTTTCTTTTTTTAGTCTTCCATTAATTCACTTTACCTTTTTTTCCGCAGTAGATGAATTGACCGGTGTACATGCCTTCGGCAGCAACTACTAGTTCTTTTCGTTTTTTATAACGATATGGATCACGGAAGTGTACAACAGCAAGTGGAGCACCACGACCTGGATCATGAATGATATCCTATTTTGAAAAGAAGGCGGTTTATTTTATGTATTTTGCTGTTTTTTATGCTCACTTTAATAACACCACGTAAATAACCCTGTCGTTCGGCATAATCTAAAGATCTTAATTTCGCTGGACCTTTGCGATGGAACGTACGAGAGCGAAAAATGGCTGAGCCACCTTTACGCTGTGCCCGAATTACTCGACCCATATTATCTAGAAGAAAATTTTCAACGTTTATTATAACTATACGATTGTATATTGAAAATAAATAAAATGCATGCATATGGACTGTCGCCATCGGCTAACACTAGTTGTGTGCCTCCGTGTAGAAATGAAATCGAATTTAACAAATAAAAATTGACTTTGAGACATTAAAACGAGTTATTTCATTGAGATATTAAATTAGAAAATCAATTTTTTTCTTTTGATAAAACTGACAGTCAGCGCCATCATTATGTGATAAAAACAATCAACCAATGAAAATGTGCTTATCTGATACTGACGTTCTGTTTTGTTTCGGAGTCATTGATAACAAGCCGCTTTTGTCATTTACTATTACACCTGCATTCTTCCTTTTTTTCTTCTCTCTATTCGATATCATTAGACACGTATCAAATAAAACATCTGGGCCTTATTCTTTAAACCGGTAGCTCTTTCGGAGTATTACTTCTACCTCGTATTATTCTCTAATCAGTATCGTTGATATAAGTTTTATAGATTATTTCAGATTAGTTTAATTTATATATAAAATGCTTCAATCACGTGGTATCACTGATTTACTTGTCGCTGAGAAAAAAGCTCAAGAAATTATTGAAGAAGCTCGGAAACGCAAAAATAAACGTATAAAAGATGCTCAAAACGAAGCTAAATTTGAAATAGAACAATTCAAAGGTGAACGTGATCAAAATTATAAAGCATTAGAAGAACAAGTAAGAATTTTAATTGAATTCTAAGCATTCTAATTTTCGTTTTCTAGCAACTTGGTAATCGAGGCAAAATGGTCCAAGAGTCCAACGTACAAACTCAAATAGATATTGAATCATTGAAAGCCAAATACGATTCCAATAAAGATGAATTACTTGAACGTATAATGACAACTGTCTGCGATATTAAACCTAAGTCACATATTAATGTTCGTATTGAATGAAAATTTTATTAATTCGATTTCTTTTTTTCGTAATTCTTCCATCATCGATTTACTCCATGTCTTTCGTATTGTGCTGCTAAAATATAAGTCTTTTTTTAACGCATGAATAAAAATTTTCTACACATTTAAAACGAATAAAATTTACAGCTATTTTTTATCTGATAAGATCAATAAGAAAAGTTTCACCGCATACGCCAGTTTTTCCTAGGCCACCATGTACAATAATTCGATCGCCGAGACAAACCATTGTATGGCCTTGTCGACCGAATTCAATTTGACCGAGATTGTACCACTGTCCGTGAGCTCCTAATGTAACAACAAAAATTTCATTCGATGGTTCACGTAGTTTTCCATCGAATGTTTCACCACCGTAGACAATAGCTAGATCAGAACCACACGGAAGACTCGCATGATCTTTTCGAGTCGATGGTAATTTTTTCATTGGACTAATTTCATTCGATTTCATCATTTGTTTGAGATCGGAATAAAGACTACTACATATGTTCTGATTTTCAACCGGTAAACCAGTATATTGCTGAATAAGATGATCAGCACGTCCACCGATAATATACAACGACGAGCCATGCCCAATCAATGAATGGCCACTACGAGAATCAACAGCAATAGGATATTGTTCCCATCTATACAAAGTAGACAAGAATAAAATTTGTTTGTATTGATTCTAAAATTCTTTTACCGGAAATTACGTTTTGCTGGATCACCACGTAAACAATATGCATCACCATGTTTACGTTGCGTTCTCAAGCTACCGTCTCGACCAATAACAAGCACTGCTGCATCATTGGATTTCATAGGAATTACAGCATGATTATTTAGTCCACCACCACTAGGAAATCCTGGTACGGGCGCTTGATACCAAGTCCCATTGACTACATCATATACATGAACATCAGATTTTCTTTTCGATCCATCCCACCCACCAATTGTAACAATATATTGACCATTTCCCATGACAACACATCGATGATAGGATAGTGCAGGAGATTCATCTGTGGTTATTTCTGTCCATGTATTACGATGAAACATAAACATTCGATTTGATGGTGCACGATCACCACGAATTCGAATTCCGCCATGAATATAGAAAATATCACCAATAGCACAACTACCATAAAACGCGACCGGAGGACCTTGTGCAATTACTGTTGCTTGTACATAGGATCCGACAGAATTATCCATCGAAAGACGTCGAGAACTTGTAATTGTACTACTATTAACGCCATTATCGATAGAACTAGTTCGGCAATTTCCTGAATTTGTATTTATGTTAGCACTGGACTCGTGTGATGCTCGACGAGTGGAATAAGCCATTTGATCGCATCGCAATAGGAATTAAAAATTAGTGGACATCCCACTTCAAATCACTTGGTTACAACTTCTTGCTCTTATGTACAGACGATAGATGGCGCTGCTCGATATCTAAAATCGAGCATTCGTTTTGAGTTTATTATGCGAACTGCTAAACTTGTTTTGGCAAAGATTTATTCCCGAATAAGTTCTAAATGAAATAAGAGAGAGAGAGAGACCCAACCTTCATGCTTTCTTCGAAATCTAGCTGATTTCAGATATTACTATGGTATAGGCAAATTTTTGAGAATTGATACGGATGAAGTAAGAACTTGTTGCACATGACTTTCTTTGAATGAAAGCACATTTATAGATAATAAAGTACAGACAGACAAAACCAACGGAAAAAAATAACAACAACAAACAACATTGACTAAAAATACTTTTGATTTGATTTCATCAAAAAGCCGTAGTTCCGTTCCATCCGTTAAGAAAATACTGTTGACTATCGACAATAACTGATGCATGATGATATGGATGTTCTGTTGGATAATTTGTTGATACATAACAATTATTTCCTGATGAATATAAATCCAGTTTTTCCGACGGAAGATTTGTTTCATAATCAATTAAAGACAAATGATGATGATGATGATGATGGTCATTATCAAGACGAATTCGTTTATTATTAATCTCATAGGATGAAATTCGTTTTTGATCATAGTACGTCGATTCATCGAGATTATTAAATGCATTTGGATAGTTATTAGTTCCTGCTGTGTAAAGAGAAAAATTCGGATAATTTGTCTGTGCATTATGAGGATAATAGTGTTCATCAGTATTGTATCCTATTGTTGAAGGATAATCATCAACGATTGTCTGATGTAAATCAGTTCTTGTTGGAGATAATTTACGTTGTTTTATTAAACGATTTACTTTCGGGACTTTTGAAGAACTACGATTTGATGATGCTGAAGATGTTGAATTTAAACTTGTATTGGCCGATGAACATTTTTCGTTATCAATTAAATTAACTGCTAGTGTCTGTGCTGAACGAATATAGTCCGATGGAGAATTTTCAATTTGATCAATTGATAACTTTAAATGTTTAGCTTCTACGTCACTAAGAAGAAGAAAAAAAAGTTCATATAGAAACTACGTAAAAGTAAGTCTTCTACCTTAGCGCATAATTTACACTAACAATAACTTCAGGTCGAGATGATCGATTGTTATGAACAAGTGTCGCATAGCTTTGCACTAAAATTTAAAAAATTTCATGGAAGAGAAACAAAAAAAGTGAAGCACTGACTCCATATCCAACCACCATTTTTAGCAAGAAAACGATAATAGCGAGTTGTCACTTGTCCTTTTGTGAGTACTAAAAGTAGAAACAAAATTTTCTCACTGGACGTGCCCATTTTATTGAAAATCTCTCTCCAATAACTTACAAACTTGATGCGCCCATCTTAATGCCATTAAATCTTGTGTATGTACATAATGATATAAACTTCTATCAACTAAATCTTGTGGTTCATATCCGGTTATTTGTGCTACTCTAAAACATGAGCAAATATTTTAAATTTTTGTTATTTTGTCTCCTGTTACCTTGAATCAAGAAATAATAATTTTAAATCTTGTCCCGCACGAAACATGAACATATTCGAATAGAGACGTATTTCAGTTATTGAACTATTCGGTAAAGAATAACCATATGCTAGCAGGCCAATATTTTGATAACAGTTTTCTGTACTATTTAAATTATTTGTCGAGCCATAACACGATATTGTATCAAGATTGAATTGTTTTATTTTAAGATAGCCTGAACAATGAATGACTTTGAAGCCGCTTGCTGTTAAGCCAGCATTACGCTTAGCCAAAACACATTTCATTCGGATAAAAAACGAACGATCGACTTCATATTCACTATTATTTGTACAATATGTTGGTAATGGTACTGTTAATACATTGGCCATTTCTTCATGATCAATCGGATGTATATATTCATATATTGAATTTCCGGTTAATTCAACTTGTGATAAACCCAAATATGTTGATGCTGTTTCAGATATATACATTATTTTACCATCAGGTCCAAGAACAAATAAAAAGCCATCCAAAATCTAATCACAAGAAAAATTATTTAGAAAAAAAAATTTTTTTTTTTTGGGTATTTTTTTAAACCTGTGCTAATTGTGAATTAATTTCACGTTCGATTGCTGTTTGCGTTGAAGATCTTGAGCCCCATGCACAGCCAAGACCTATACATATAATTATATCGATTTCGATTTTTAATCAGGTAAATAGCGGTAACGAAAAAGCTCGTCATCTATGTGTGAATTTTTGTACTCCTGATGCGTTACGGAGAAAAAACATCCGGATTCATTTTCAAACTGATCGGATCAAAGTCAAGAGAAGAGAGAGAGAGAGAGATGGGGGAAAAAGCTATTGGAACCAATATAATTTCTTTTTTAATATCTAAACTTGTCATGCTCAGCAAACAAACCCTTGCCATTCTAATTGTTCCTCTTTCTCTCGACGCTATCGAATTGCACGAGAATTCTTTTAATTTAATTAAAACGAATACACCTCTTCGGTCGCTTATCTAATCATATCTATTATTGATATTCAAATAAATATTATGGAAATTCTTGCGTTACTTCTAACGATTCGACCATTTCTTTTGTATAGAAAAAGAAGGCCAATACGTGTTTTGATGATCATCTCATAGAATAGAATTCAGGATGTAAATATAAACAAAACAACATCAATAAGTTCAAACAATTGAAATGCTATATTCGGGTTCATCTATAAAAGACGAATAGTCAACAGTTTACTTTATTCAATCTTGAGGTTCTCTCTTCTTTATAACGTCAACTTCGTTTCTTTTTTTTTTACAATCTTAAAAGCAAATTCTCCTCAACCATAGGCTATTAGTCATAGTTAAAAATGATCTATAAAAATATTTGATGAATGAGCATGTTAAAATTGTCGATATTGTGTCAATGACATCATCTTAGCGGGGTGGACTATGGATATTAGTTCTAGCTCATTAGATTACCTTCGGGTATGATAGAACGCATTTTAAGATAACTTGTGGTAAGACGTATAACCGATGCTTTATCCAATTGATCAGTGATTGCATGTGGTAAAGGTAGAAGTTTCGCCAGTTCGAAAAATTCCGCATTTTCTTTTTCGCGTCGACTTCGTGCTGCATTCTTCGATTTTTCTTTCATGGCTTCGATCCTATTGTTGAAATAGAGAAAAAAAAGTGATGAGTACAATGTAAAAATAAAACATCGTGAGGAGACGAAGAAGAGGAATAATTAATCACAAATCAGTCACACTATTCTGTGAAAAAAGATTCAGAAATTAGAAAAGGTGTCATGATAAGTTAACGAACAATAATCTATCTATTGTCTCCTTCTCTCGGAACCACGGGAGGTGTCTCCTTTTTCGACTATATACGAACACGTTTTTACCTATCACATAGTAGATAGAGGCGTCCTTTCGAATGCTAGAAAAATGAATGAAATTATCTCGAATGGAAAAAAAATTAAGCGAGAAAGAGACAGACATGGAGGAAACAAATTAGCATTGTTAACTAAAAAGTTTGAGATACTACTCGAACGCATCCATCTCATTTGACACGCGCGTGCATGTACATCATTTTTTATATTATTTCAAAGCGGCAATCATTTTCTTCGTCTCTATCTTAATTGGCTCAATTTTTCATAAAGAAATTCAATGCTTATTACTGACGAGAAGAAAATAAATACTTACAGAAAAAAGAAACTTTTTGTCTTCAGATTGATTAGTAAATAAATCAACAACAACAACAACAACGGTTTATTAATCCGCTGTTGCTGCTATGCATATGAGTTGTCTGTCTTTCTTTTTTTAAGCTTTCTATTGCTCTCTTTTTTTTCCTCGTTCTACTCACGGGTGAGAAGATTTGTTTTATTTATGTCCGTTATAGTCGCACTCCTATTCGTTGATGCTGATCAATACTCATTCTCTCCCTCTCTCGCTGTCTTCCATATCTCTCGTTATAGGCATCAACTTGCTGTTATTCGATCAAAAAGTGCATAAAGTTTTTATCTTCGAACATAACAAAAAAAAAAATAGAAGATTTATGTAAGAAGAAAATAATGACTGACCTATAAGCACTTGTCAACGGTATTTTAAATCTAATCCGAATACGTTTTTATTAAACACACCTATAATAGACATGAGTCCACTGGTAGAAAGAGATATCGACCTGCCCCCCCCCACCGCTTCTCTCATTGGATATTTTAATTATAAAACAAAAGAGAAGACGAGGCACTAGACTCAAATGGCATATGTATGTATGCTTCTCATATAATTGACCTTATAAATCTTTATCATTTGAGCATGCCTAAACTTCGATAAGTTCTATATGAAGATGAATAGCTTATTTGCCTGCTATATCAGTATTTTATATTCTTTATATTTCAGTAGCATCGATGACTATTTTTGATTGATTTATTCAATAGAAAACAGCAACGGTACACAAGAAAAAAATGATGTTAACTTTTCTCACATCAATCGAATGCATACCGACAATGATGAATAAAGAAAGGAATTAAGGATGAGATTAACAAGATGAGCCAACAGGTTGGAACATAAAAAATAAGCGGTAGTTCAATCTCTTAACAAACGAATATAATATTCGTCCTTTATTTCTAAGGCCTTGTATCAAAATACTAATTGAATTACTTTGGAAAAAAAAGATTCGTTACTGTTTTTTGTTTTTATTGTTGTTGTTCTTGAATAAAAACAACGTATTTTGCATATATTTTCGAATCTTATTTTTTTGACATTAACACATCAGAGAATGTTTGTCAATTGAAAGAGAGAGCTACCTGTACGTTCGACGATGAAAAGTAAATATAGACTTTCTATGAAAAGAGACATTGATCAATCGATCTACTCATTGATTATAACAAAAAAGTCAACATAATTATTACAGGCAATATTTGAATGAAACGCGTGTCGAAAGAAATATCGAAGTCAAGTTTTTTTTTTCTAGGGTTTCATATTTGCATCTAAATAATTGTTCAAAGGAACTACGCGGGTTTAGATATTTCTTTTCATGAACGTATACTTAGAAAATAAAAAATAAATATGCAATTTTAAATGCCCTGATTTTGACAAAAATATCGAAAACTTGTTTCAGCTATGAATCTAATCAAGCTAATTCGGAAAAGAGCAGGCTGTTTTGAGCATTTGATTCTTCAAAACACAGTGTTGTAGAAAAAAGTAGTGATTCTGTTTGATGAACACTAGCAAAAATTCTTGAAATGATAAACTTAACAGTCGTACCGAAGTTGATTATCATGACTATTTTGTGCAAATATTATAATCTATTTTTTTTTCCTGAATTCTCATCTTTTCTTGAGAGAGGGCGCCGGTAGCTTGACTATTCGTTATGCGCGCATTTAATATCCTGAAGAGGGACCTAGATATCGATGATCATTGTCTTGCGAATTAAAAAGACTTGAAAATTAGCTTCAAAAAGGCTAACCACTATTGAAAATTTTGGGAGTTGTACGAGGAATTGTCCTATATAAGTAGTCTTCGAGCAGAAACACGGTATTGGAACTAAAATTAGAAAAACTACCTCTACTTCTCGTTTCATTCATGTTTAAAAAAAATCTACAGCTGAATTCCAATTGTAAAGTATGCAAAATCCGACAAATGAGGTTTACGTTGAGCAAAAACAAACGAAATTTTCTTAAATATTATAATATTTCTGGATTCAAACCTGAATTTATTGTAAATAAAACGCCGAAAAGCTCCCGTCAATCTTCGGATCCTGAGTTTTGATATGATGGCGGAAGATAAAACGGCCAGAACTAACGAATAAATATTTCACTACTATTGATAATGAAAGATTTTTATCAATCAACATAAATGTCTGCAAACAAATCAATACAGAACAATCGTATCAATAAAAAGTCACGTTCAGACTGTTTAAAATGTGGCCAAAAGATCAGTCATTATTAAACGATTAGGTCATTAGACAACGTTGAACTTCGATCAAAATACATCTAAATCCTACTGGCAAATAGGAGCAAAAACTATTTTTCTATAAAACAAACTATCAGTTGATTTCATAGCTAAGAATAATATGAACAATACTAGATACAATAGAGAATATTTTTATATACCTGTCAAAATCATTAATAATCACATTCGAGTCGTCGTTGGTATGCATCGGATGAATAAACGTTTGGTTTTGCATCATGTTTTCGTTGTTTGTATCGATCATTGGTTTTTCGTGCTTCTATATATAAAAGGTGGATAACAAGTTTTCATGTATACTACACGATCACATTATGATCATATACAGGTAAACAATAGTTGTCTTCGTTGACTGATTGTCGTCTAGTTTGACAAAATACTTTTGTTAACGAATCACGTTCAACAAAGTTCAGCGTCCGTTCTGTTTTACCGCTACGAGAGAAGAGAGAGAGAGAGAGAGAGAGAGAGAAACAATCTACTACGTCGTTCTTTTTCTTCTCTTCTTATGATAGTGGCGAAGGAACTAATGACAATATTTAATCTTCTGCGAGTGGGCGGAGCGCACGCACGTCAACGATGAACGCTAAAAGAGAGGAGAAAAAAATTGATTATCTACCAATCATATGCGCGAAAAGAAAAACCAATCAAAAAGTTTCTCAACAGTTTTTAACTTCAAATCAATAAGAAGAAAAAAAAATACATCAAAATCACTTACGTTCTTTCTCGTCAAAGATTTGAGTCTAGTTGAAGTTTATTATTTGGTAATACCAAGTAAATATGACACCGCATTAGTAGCATCACAGCTATTATCATCATTTTATGTTCATTCTTCGTTTGTTGATTGAACATGACAAACTCTTATTGTATTTTGCTTACCTGTGAAATAGAGAGGAGGAGAGAGAAAGTGCATTGAATTATTTTTCTCTCTCCGTTAGATATTGAATGTGAAATGGGAAACTGTTTACTAATCATTTACGAATGGCATTAACAGTATGATTTCTGGTACGCTTACGATATTTTAAACACACAGCAGGCCTAAAATTAAACATCCGTTGTTTAAAAGAAAAACATTGTTCAGCAAAGCTAATTTGGATAACACTTTTTCGCACATATATGCATGCTATCAATAAAATCATAGAGACGATTTTATTCGGTTCAAATTCTCGAGATAGAGATAGCCGTACTATTATTATTCATCAAGCAAAGTTTATAACGAGAATGCGGAAAGTAATTTGTCGTTTTTTTATTCCAGTTTTAGTATTCACAAATCCAATATTGAATTAGTTTAAATAGAATAATTTACTATTTTTTGAAATTCAATCTGAAAAATTGGTAGACGCTTTGGATTCTCCTCCCTACAGGCGTGGCAAATTTCTTAGCGACGAATCATCATAGACGGGTTAGAAACAGACATTATTTTTACACGAGCAAGTACGTGGTGTTTTGTTATCTCGGGTCTTCAACTATTTCTTCTCGTTCACAACTTATCAAGGGACTCTTTTTTTCTACTATGCTCATAACAATGTTATATATATGTTTCCTGTTGTCGACGAGAATATTTGTATGAAACCCTTTTTATGTTGACTAGGTTACTAGAAAAATTGTTATTTGATATTTTCATCCGAATAAATAGTGTATGTGAAACTTCACGAAAAGAATATTCCGAATCACATTAGAGGGATTAAAAAAACAAAACATATTGATGTATTACTGAAACCTGTATCTCATAGGAAAATATTCTGTATTTGTTAGCTCATCTATCTAGAGAAGAACTCATTTTATTTGATTGCCAGCAGCTACTGATAGAATAAATCTACAATTGCTCTTGTGAAATTTAACCGATTATGAAATGTATAAGGTCACGACTAATATTCGTTTTATCAGGTCCGATAACGAGACTCTTTCTTTTTATTCCGAATTTTTAGTATTGAAACTTTGATTCGTTTTTGCATGCCATAACAGTGAGTCTGTTCGTTACAGTTTGTATTGCCCGAGTATAGATCGCCTTGGATTCCAGGAAGATATTTTATTTGACATGTTTTCCGGAAGTCAGTCAACGACATCAATGCTTTGCAACGATCAAAATGAACAGGCTTTAGTATAACGTCGGGTACCACCAACGTTTTCGTCACTGTCAATAGCAGTCGAAAAACTTAATTCTTTTCCGAGAGAGAGAGAGAGAGAGAGAGAGAGAAACATAAATTATCTACTGGGTCAATTATTCCAATACCACATGACAGCCTCTGTTGGTAATGGAAACGCTCGAGCATCTTTCTTTTGCAGTAGTAGACACTTCGCTCGTTCTAGCAAAAAAAAAGAACGAAGTCTCTAAGACATTCCAACAGAAGAAAATAATTCTATCAATATTTTTTTCTCTTGAATTATTTCAAACAAGTCAATATATTGTAAGAGATTTTTGTTTAATAATACCACGATAGAATAACATAAAAAGTAATTTTATTCTGCATAACATACAGCGCTAACCATTTACAGATGAATGACAAAAAGGACAGACATCGAGACGAGCCATTTCATTTTCCAATGCGCGATGTTTACAAGCCGGACAAATCCAAAAACCATATTCAATGATCGGCCGACCAGTAGCAATACATGGCGGAAAACGCCAGTCGCACGATGGACAATTTAGACACCTGAAGAAGAAAAACAAAATTACATCCGTAAGACGGGAATTAACAGGCTATTGAACGTTTTTTTGCTCGTTTTTTCCACATGTGGAAATGTTTCCGAGTATAAGTTCAAAAATTGCGTACCAGTTATCGCACTATATCGAACTCCGAAATTGAATATTTGCAACTTTTAGTGATATATCACATTCACTTTTGAAAAATCGATTTTTTTTCTTTGTGATGAAATTCGTGCCTGAGAAAATTCTTATAATTTGTACATCTCTCAAACCAATTTTTCAGAGCGTTCAAATATTCGTCCATTACTTTCGTGCGAAAAAGAATGAATACAACATTTCTTGGCTCATATTCGAAACGAGTGAGCAGCCCTGTTTTTGATTCATCGACAATACTTTCTAGTAGGTCAAAAATGAATAAAATTCGAGTTCGCAACATACCAGTCGTTAATTCTATTGCTACATTGTGGGCATTGTCCCGAGAGTACCGGCCGTTTGTCTTTTGGTTGTGAGCTATGAAAAGTAATTGCAAAAATAAAAATGAATTCTTCAGAGAAATAATAAACAACAGAAAAGAAAAGAAAAATCTACAATAAAGATCAAAGCGATTTACTAAAATATCCTTTCAATCCAACGACAAATGTTACAAGTACAGTCATAATTAAAACACCGATAATAATACCGCCAAAGACGTACGTTAAAATTAAATTTGTATGCAAACGATTCGAAAGTAGTCGTGCTTTATCCTCGCTTTGTTGATCATGTTTTTTTAATAGTCGTCGAATTTTTATCGATTGATGTAGACAAACAATTCCTGCTAGCATCCAAAAACAACTTAGACAAGCGAATACTGATACTATAAAATAATCATTGATTGGATTTTCTATAATTATTATATGATTTTTAGTAGATTTTTTCTTCTGATCAAAACAATAGGGTTTTTCAATAGTTGACGATGGCTCAATAATTGGTATACGATATTCGTGTTGTTCATTCGAATATGAATTCCAATCGAACGCATAATTAGGTTGAGCTTTTCTCCATAAAACTAATGAATTTTTGTCTAAATGACGTACATTAAGTGGTTGTTGAGTGGTTTGTTTCATTGTAAAATGGCAATCGGAAGGTAACTTACCATACAATTCACAATGTTAGACAGAGAGAACGAAGAAGAAGAAAAAGAAGAAGATCAAAATTTTGATAGCAATATAGAAGACGTGTGAAGGAAAAAGAAAAGAACGAAAGAATTTTTGTTTTTTTTCGTAACATACCTTAGAAAGATTTGAAAGGCCAATTTTTGGTATTCTTTTCGATCTTCTTCATTTATGGATGGATCATCTTCAAGTTTAAGAAATGCTTTACTGGCTGAATTAAATGCGCCACAAGATGTTGCGCAAAGTGCTAAACAAGTAAAGAACATTAGATTCATTTCCCCCGAGTCATTAACTCCGGCGTATGAAAAAGGTCATTAACCTTTTTTGTAGAAAAATCAGCGTTATAGTAAATGTATGAAAAGATAGCTTCGGGTCTTTTATCTTATTCGAGAGAGAGAGAGAGAGAGGAACAAGATATTTTTTTTCTCATTATGTATTACCTATAAGATTGTAAATTGTTTGTACGGGAAGAATATCTTCGTATTCCGTGAGAGTCAAAGCAGATCGTAAGGCACCCTCAGCATTGTTTGATTTATATTGACGCTGAGCGAGAATATAGAAATGATAGGCTTCAGCAGGACGCCAAACATTGTCAAGCAATTGTGTATCAGATACACCTCCTGAACCTGTTGTTTCTTCAGTCAATAAACCTTGTAAAGCATCGGATGCCTATTAAAAGAGCAAATAGATTGAAAGTCGGCCGGAAACAGTCGCTGTAAATTTGTTTCACTTACTGAAATGGGTGCAGATTTTTTTTCTTTTCTCGAAGTTGTTTTCATTGCCGTACGATATTGTTCAATAAGTAAACCGCATAGAACGTACATTTTTTTCTTCATTACTAACGGGCGATTTTCTTTGCTATGATTTTCAGCAATCTAAACAAATTCACTTATGATCAATGAAAATTGTCTTTGTTCGATATTTACTCCGTAGAGAATTTTCGCTGCTTCCAAATAGTTCGCTGATTTTTTATACAATTCAATAGCATCAAATGGTTTGTTTTGATCGAGTAATGTTTTCGCTTGTCGTGTTAATAGAGTTTTAAGGTCGGTTAAATTATACTGGCGAGCCAGTTCTATACCCATGTCCCATTGACTTAATTCAATACACATTTGTACTGCTTCTTGTATAAGATTGCACTAAACGAATCAAATTAATATTCATAATAAAAGATAATATCTTAGATCATTTACTCGTTTGTATGCGTCGACTGCGGGCTCAGCTAAACCAACGCCAGCAAACGTATCCGCAATAGACTATCAAAACAAAAAGTTGATTTTATTTTTTTAGATTAATAATAAAAACGAATTTTACTCTAAGTATAGGATCATTATCTTGTAATGATAGGCTGAGTTTTTCTAACGCAACATAATCTTCTGTATAAGCATAACAATGAAATAATTGAGCGTTATTTCCACTTTGTTCATAATATTTCGCAGCTGTAGCCCTTTAGAAAAAAAAAAGAAAGAATGTCAACAAATGAAAATAATAACACAAAGACGAACCATTGTTGTCGATCAAAATAAAAATCTCCTAATTCATTCCAGGCTTCATTTTGCATAGCATCACTTGCTATCGCACCTGATTGAAGAATTTGTACAACTCGAAACCAATCGCCTAGTTTACGTCGGAGTTGATACGCTAAATCTCTATAAGTAAATCAAAGTTAACAATTTACAGTTCAGAAAACAAGAGCTAGTTTGCGGAACGATAACTGGGCCCGGTGGAGTTTACTCAGGAGGGATTGTTTTCAATTATTCAAGAACTTTTCGGCTCGAAATTTTCTCCGTAAAGCGAGAGAACAGAATACTCTATCTTATGCAAAAAGTCCGGAGCCAAAAATAACACCGGCAAGAACTTTATTTTTATTTTTTAAGAACGTACTTTCGATCCATATGCACATAGATTTTCTCAACTTCATCATCTTGTTTGAGAAAGGCAGCTATTTCTGCACGTTTGAATTGTTCGCCCTAAACGAAAAAAACAAAAAAGCTATTTTCACATAAACATTTGTCTTCATCTACTTGAAATTGTTGTAAACGTCTTAAAAATTGTAAACCATAATAATCATGAATTTTCACAAAAGCATGTTCGGCTACTTTTATATCTAAATGATTCAGTGCTTCCTCAGCTAGAGTACGCCTAAACATACAAAACGGTTTGACTTTTTGTTTTGTAAATCTTCAGTTTTTCTTCTTACCATAATTGTGGATGAGGATCTTTTTCAATCAAACTGCTCACTTGTTCTAATGGCAATTTTTCACAACTTGTTTTCATGTCGTGTAATAACTTAAACAAAATAAAGATTTTAAAATAGCGACACGAGCTATATTGCTTTTACTTTATTATCATAAACTGTTATATAGTCCGGCGATGGAGCTTGAACGCCTTTGAAATGCATTTTCATAATTTCATCAAGCATCACAACTTTAACTTGCAAATTGCTATATTCGCATACGTAACCTGAACATGGCACCGCTTCGTCTACTTCAACACCACGTACCAATGATATTTTAGTTTTTTCCATAACTGCAAATGAGTCCGGCAGATCCTAAACGAGACAACTCATTTTTTCATTTTATTTCAATTTAGAAAATTATTTACAGTAGCCCAAACAACATTCCAGACGTCACTCTTCTTAAAATTTGTTATATCTTCTCGTGGTTCTTTACTTTCCATATCGATTAACATACAATATCCACTTGTATCAATAATAGATATTAATCTATATAGGATAAAAATACGAATGGTATTTAAAGAAAAATAATCTTTCGATTGCTAACGTTGCTATTGAATTAAGTGCAATTTTACTTATACGAAATTGACATTCAATTTTCTCCATTAGAGTACATGCCGGAAGTGAATAACGAAGAACAACACCAGATGATCGAGCCTAAAATTTGATAAACATTGGCTTAGCACATTTTACCATCAGCGACAAACTTACTATAAAAATCCATTTATCGGATCCACATAAACTTGTTATAGGATCTTCGGTTTCCTTTGAATAAATGCAAATCAATAAAACAAATAGTTGTTCAATAATAAAATGCCTATTACCATGGCGTCTAAATTTGCCATCAAAGTCAATTGAAGTTCATCGCCATGTCGAACTGCTGCGGGATCATCGACTTGAATAAATCTAAACGAAGGAAATATTTATCGCGTTGATTTTTTTCGTTCCTAAATTCATCGTACTTTTCATATGGTTGCTTTTTGACCATTTGTGATCCAATAAATCCACTGATTCCCCAAATAAAAACCAATGATTTTGAAGCGATCACTGCATAACTTTGTGTCACACAAATATATATCGGGTGAAATGGAATATATTTTGATTCAATCGTAACACCAATTGAATTACACAATAAAACAACGTATGAATCTGCCGTATTTATTGTTGATGTTCCTCGTTCGATAAAACTGCCAATACAACAATATGAACCGAAACCACCAAGCGAAAGTAAATTTCGAACATAACGATAATTGACCTTTCAATTCGTGAGAACAAAAAAAATATCTTTCTGAATTTCAAATAGCAAAAGTTATTACTTCATTTGTTTTCGTATTCCAAAATACAACGATATGTTCTGGCCGACTACATGTATAAAACGAATAAACGACTGTATCTTGAATGTAGCACCACTAAAAAAACGAGAATATTTTTCGGATCCGAAAAGAAAAGCAAATTACTTTATAATCCAATCGACAATTAGCAAAATAAATAAAATTATCAATTGCGATAACAAGTCGGAGGGAATGAGCTTCCCATGCACAATCTGCAATACTCTTACCAGTTACTTTCAATGACCGTAAATGCTAAATCAAGATGATTTACTATGATAAAAATTTTCAAAAAACAACAAACCTCTCCCCATGGTGAATAAAAATGAATAAAATTATGCGCTTTATCTCCTGTTAATTGATAGCCAGCAACAGCTAACATCGAACCATTATCATTCCATTTAATTGACGCAACATGCATATCAACATCGAGAATAATTGGCGCTGGATCGTCTTCTCTCGACATCAATTGCATAGCACCATTTTCATAACATATAACAAGACTTTTGCTATTCATAGTCATTAAACCGTTTCTTCCATCGTACCATTCAATACCGGCAATTTCAGCCGAGGGCACACCTTCACGAATACAAAATATTTGAATTTGACCCTTAGAAATGAAAAAAAAATAGGAGTAAAACTAAACGAAATTTTGTTTGGTTAACCGACTATATAATTGAGTTTAAAATCGTATATATGAATTTCGCCGCGCATAAAACCAAAAAGTAATAAATGACTATCTGGCGACCACTAGAAAAATGTTCGTATTAGAAAAAATGCACATTTTATATTATAATAACCATACCTCGACTTTTGCTAATTTGCTATCGCTTAAACTTTTCCCAGCGATTCTTGATCCTTCGACCGAACCAATAATTACATTTCCTAAACACAAACAATAATAGATATTCTTTTCCAAAAAAATTTGGTTTCTTTACCATCTTCATGACCAATACAAATCATTTGTCCACTGAAAATAAAATTTTAACAACTAAATTTCATTCGATTAAACATACTTGGAATTCCATTTCATATCGCTAATACGATTTTTCGTTCGATTATTAAGCATATCTTGTACGAATTCATTCTGCGGCCCATTAACCCAAACAATAACTGTTCCACCTGAGTCAGCTGTTGTTAATTTTCCAAATCGTTCATTCCATGCTATACTCGATATCGTATTTGTATGTCCTTCTAATGTTTGGTTTTTTGTTAATTGTGCTTGACCAGCGACACCACGAGTACGTGCATCGCCAACTAAATTATTTAAATACGATAAAAAACATTTAAATAAAAAAATTTACCTTCAGGTATTTCTAATTTAAGAACTTTAACAAGACCATCAGCACAGCCAGCTGAAACATAGCCCTCAAATGCGTTCCATCCACACTTTGTTACCGGTGTGTCATTCGGCATAGCAATACGTTTCGCTAGATGAACGAACATGGTTGAATTGAACTATATTCTAGAACTAAATTAAATCAACTCGTGAATATATTTCTAGCCATAACGATATTCAATCATGCACTTGTAGTCTAGCAACAATGTCTCTAGACGTTGACTTGTACCGTTTATATTTCATTGGACAATATTTTGGTCCAATGAAAAAGCAATAAAATGCATCGAGAAAGAAGGCGAGTAGAGAAATAGTTTTTTCTGTTTTTGTTGTTTTTACTCTCAAATACAAGAAATATGCAGTATTGGCGTATAGCTGGTTTAAAGTTAGTTTTTTTGCTAATTAATTTTTTATTCTCGATGAATACGCCTTGTGTGCTTTTAGTTATATTCAATTTTCGGCGGCATGTGCACGTACAGTTCGTCGCTGTTTGAAATCAAGTATGGCAAAAGATGCTATGAAACGGGAAGAATCCTATGTACGTGTTAACAAATGGCAGGGTGGAAAAATATCGGATCAAGTTCATGCACCTAGTAAATTAATTTACAGAGATTTTATTATTTTTCTACTACATGGAATTCTTTTTTTTATTTCTAGACAAGGAACAACCATAATGGAATGCTTCCCATTTCTTTCCAAAGATGGACTTCAATAGTATTATTTGACTGGCTGTCTGTTTTTTTCCTGATTATTCCTCGTATATTTGTTTTTTTAACATAGAGAAAAATAAACATCATTATTATTCCCAATTCGAAATTTAATTTAGTGTTTATTTTAATTGCTCATATATAATCTTATGTATTAATCAATGGTGTTTGACTAATTAGAAATCTTTTAGCAATCATATTAATTCAGATACTTCTATTGTATTCATGACCTGGTTGCATTAAAAATGCCGTATTTACTACTTTCACTTCTGTTAACCGTCAATAGCCCAAATGAGTTTTTCTTGTTACTTGTATTAATCACCAAGGCAAAAAAATGAAAAGTGAAGAACATTAAAATAGTTATATCCAAAATTCAACAATGAACAATAGTCTTTTTTTCTTAGTCAACAGATTGATCGATATATCGACCTAGCATATGCTTGAATAAATGGTTATCGGTCTTAGCACTATTCGAGGATTTAGTATAATTCGATAGTAAAAATATAGTGCAACCAATAGTCATTGATTGTTTCTCAACAAATCGAAAGAATTCATTTGTCGGAAAATCCATTTAGACTTCAAATAGTATGTAATTCAAAATTAGTTTGCAAACGATGTATTTCATCACTTTATCAACTTACATTGTATAGTTAACATTGAAAACGATCGACCGAGCGGAAAAAAAGATGCGACGAAAGTGTACAAGAAATCTTTGATGACGTATTTATTTTCATATTGTTTTGTTTTTGCTTAGTAATTACAATACTAATAATCTAAACGAGAAACATGGCTTTTCACGTATTAGAAATGAAAGAAAAAGAAGGATTGTAATTAAAAGATAGGTAGATGCAATTAAACTAGCAACGACAAAACGAATTGTATCGGTTTTGCAACGTACTTATTTCGAAAAATGAATTACAACGCTTTTTCGCATATCAAACGATAATGAAGTGAATATTTATCATCATGCATCTAATCGTTTATATTGGTATGATGAAAAAAGATAGAAAGGAAAAATGTCGAAAACAAAATCGTGGGCTGAAAATGTGGATGTAAGAAGAGTGAGGGCAATGTTTTTGATATTTTCCCAGTCATTCGAAATCAATATGTAATATCATAATAGAGCAAGTAAAATCTAGATTATCTAACGTAGTATTAATATCATTCTATATTATCAGCTGTGTTGTTCGCCGGTGATTCGCCCACGTCATGCTCGGGCGAGTTGTTTTGCACACTGAATTGATTAACAAAATGCTCTAGTTCATCGTAATCTTGTCTTTTCAATGCATCCAATGTTTTTACTGCATCATCGAATCGATCTTGTTCATTCAATATTGAAACTAATCGTTTTGCTATTGCCTTAATTGTGTCTTTTTTATTTTGTTCTATTTCTTGTTTTACTCGCTGACTATGTTGAATAACATTATCGAGATGATCGTTTATAGCTCTTTCTTCTTGATATGTTGCGATCAATTCTCTTGAGATATCTGCATGTGCAAATTGCATTTCTTGTGCCGCATCAGCCAACCGATCGGAATCGTTAACCAGAGTAGACTGTTCAAATTGACTAGAAGTTTTAGCAGAAGGGCTATTAAGAACTTCAAATGATGTTTCTCTTCTTTTCATCTCATCCCTTTTTTGTTGGTCTCTCATTGCTTTTCTAGCATATTTACGATATTCTTCTTCTTCGCGATTCAATTGCTGTAATGAATAATCTCGCGACATTATTTCAGCGTCAACTGCATTTGAGGCTGTTAAAGCACTTTCTCGAGCCGCTTTTCCACCAACAGCAGTTAACGTTATACCTGCCAAGACTGAGCTCCCAACAATACTGCCAACAACAAAATCTGCTGCTGTCACACTAAATATTGATGTACCAGTATATAAGGCTGTACCGACGATACCACCAACAGCTCCAATTGCAAGCGATATACCCACAGTGCCGATAATGAGTATTGCCGCTTTACCTGGATTTTCACTTACCCATTCCCAGGCGACTTTTCCTGTTTGACGTACATTGCAAAAAACATGAAAAATGTTTTTGGCACTTTCAGCAGGCGAACAAATTGGGTGTAAAAAAACTTGTTTTAATGTGAATGCTTTTTGTCGAATGTTTCGTAGTTGATCACGTATACTTTCGTATATTTCACCTATTTTGTTAGCCATTTGTTGCAAAAATGTACTTTTGTCAGCTAGCGTACATAGCTTTAATGCAGCATCTATTTCTTTGTTTTGTAGCTCCAATGATTTATAAGCTTCTTGAATGTTTTTTTTCGAAAGTTTGCCATTCAATCTGCAGATTATTAGCAAATCGTGGGAAGTTTAAATCCTGTATACGTTGCACAAGGTAATTTAACTCCTTTTCCAATAGATTCCTATGCATTTCATACATATGTATCGCATCAAATACTAATATTTTTCGAAGAATAGAGCCTAAATAGTCTGTCACATATTTTGCTTGATGTTTTCGAACTGTTCGTCTTTCAAGAGTACCTTTTGCATGTTCATATTCAGTTAATGCTACCAAGAAGTTCACTTTATTGCCTTCTCTTTCTTTTTTTTATTTCACGCATCAATTCATCAATATATTTTCCACTGAAACCTACTTTTTCATTCATCAGCAAACTACTATATTCTTGATTCAGTTCGTAATTCCACAAAAGCCAAGATTCAAAATCGTATCGTAAATTGCCATTTCCGGTTGCTTCTGGATTTGCTATTTCCATCATTTTTTTTAAACTGGCAATAGCATCGCATTTGATTTGTTGGAAATTTTGCTGATCATGATGATTTTTAACACGTTGTAAGTTAATTCGAAAGAGGTAACACTGCTGAGTAAATTCTGCATGCTGAGCGATTGATGTAACTGATGACATTTTTCGCTGATTTTCATCTGCAAATCAATCTTTAAATGAATACATTTAAGCGTTTCATCTGACTCCTTTATCTCTATTACACTTTTTGAGAAGAGAGTATGCTTAACTTGCCTCTATGCTAGACGGTATTTATATAAATATTCACGGACTGGTTCAAAGGTAACTGGTCAATCTGTGATTACGAATAACTTTTTATACGAGCTAGATAAAAATTGCAATTCTCGCAAGTACGTAGAGAACTCTCTGGGACATAGATCGGTGAGAATCATTAGACTCGAGGAAGATTTCAATATCTATTTTCAAACAGATATCCTTTTCATAGATTTTCATTGTGATCTTAGCTCAACTTACACCAAAATGCAGTTCGAAGAATGGTGTCTGAGCAGCAAAATCTTTATAATTCAAATCAGCATTCTTAAGAATTGATTTTGCGAGAATGTTAATTAAGCGTGAACAATTTATTTCTGTCAGAAAATTCTTCGAACAACATTTTTCTGTAAGTTGAGCTAAGGTTACAATGAAAATGGATAATGAAAAGAATATTTATTTGAACGTAGACATTGACATCTCCATCTAGCCTTTTGAATCTTATAAAAGTATGAGTACATGCCAAATCTCAGTGGTACCCAGTCAGACAAGCGTTGAAAAACACGGTGTTTTTACGCGTAAAACATCGTTTTTTTCAACGCTTGTCTGACTGGGTAATATCACGCGAAGTTCAAACATACAAGTAGCATTTATACCTAGATAACTAGATAGGTAGGCAAATAAAAAAAATATTTTTTACCGCATTGGTGAAAGTTGAGCACGGGAATAATTAGCACGGATAGATCAGCACAAGGAATGATGAGCACGAAAATGTCGAGCATCTCAAACAATCAGCACGAATACTGACTATATAGAATAACTGTCAATTATTTATTTAAATATATTTATACGAAATATTGAACACTGAATTATTCTGTGATGTTATGTGCAATTGAGTCAATCTGGCTGACAACATCTTGAAGAGGGACCGATATAAGATTCCCTAAACGTCTTTCAAAATGCCGATGCTTTTTCTTCTTTTACTGTGTTTGTCCAGCATTTATTAGTATTAGTACTATATCGGCGTCAATAGCACACCCCTTCCCCCCACATTTGAAAGCCATAGCTTTCTATTAGGAGGGTGGGAGTGTGGGGCGTGGGTGTCGGTGTTGATGTGCAGGTGCGTGGGTGTGGGTATGAAGGAAAGATTCACACCCGCACCCAATAGTCTGCACTTGAGTGAAGATACGTAACTTCCCAGGTCAAATACGTACGGTGGGAAACAGTCTGATCCGGTGATTTTCCATCGAATTCCGGAAGCAGTATTCCGAAAAGTTTTCCGGTCTCCATTTCCAGGGTATTTCCCGCTAACTCCTGTTTCCGGAACCGATAAGCGGATACGGTTTCCGTTTACAACAGGATTCCGTACTACGTTTCCGATGGTTTCCATTTACTGCAGGATTCCGGAGT